GSRAAATGCTCGTCTGAGTTACCRGATCGGMAGGGGAATWATCCRRTRGATYTGRTTGGATGATTATACCAAGCAGGTCACAATTATATGTGTAGGAATTTGGGTTAGTTGAGTGCCATTTTGATGTTGTTGATGATAGATTACATAGGTAAAAACTGACTGTAAACGTGGCCTTTTAATCCCTCAGGGCTGTTGTTCGGGTCGGAACAACCTGTTCCGACTGATGACTCAGCTGTTTATTCCAACAATAATTGTCAGACTTAGCGGCGGAATAATATCGGTAAAACGCTCGTCTGAGGTTTCGGATCGGCAGGATATTCATCCGGATAATTATTCACTGATGAAATAATGTAAAAGGGCTTCATGACAATCAGGCCCTTTTTGACCCTCTTATTGATGTGTGTTGTTTATATATGAGCAAAATAGTGTGTAATCTGTACAGGTGTTCCATTTTATCAGGGGAAAGCTCTGATCGGACCGGAATAACCTCTTCCGGTGGCTTATTCAGCTGTTTGATCCGGCAATAATCATCAAGCAACTACAGATTATATCATTTGTACCCAATCGAGGGCCACTTAGGATGATGCATATGTGTGCAGCTAATCCGCTATCCGTTGGGGCCCATCTGTTGGCAGAAGAGCAACCATAATCTTTAGCCATCACCCAAGATGCGACGGCTCATACTTTTCTCTAACGGACGACGACTGCCTCGATGCTCTTGGAAGCATTGACACTTCGGCCACGTACTCGGACGGCGACAAGTTTAGCTCCAGAGATTTCCTCATGAAGTACCGCACCAACAACAGTGGTAACCAGGAAGCTAGCGGTTCCACGATCAAGGACACTGCCTAGGCCATTCCGAAAAGACACTCTTCTACCGAGCCCTCTGCTCAAGCTCATCGGCCGCAGCCAATGCTCCGTTGATTTCATGCTTGGCAAACTTGCGGCTACTGACCTTGCTCTAGAACAAAATGTCCAGCTCTTCAAACGTACGGCCCTTAGTCTCGGGCATGCAGAAGTAGCAGTAGACAGCACATAGAAGCGACAAGCCAGCATACAGAAAGCCGGTATTTCCTCGCCAGTTACCCCGATCCTCGTTCATCGCGTACAGGATGATGGCGGCGAAAAAGATAGAGACAAGGTAGCACGTCACCGTAGCCAGGCCGATGGTCAGACCCCTGGGGCGGGCCGACGAGACCTCGGCCAAGAGCACGAAACAGTACGGCCCAATGGTGATATCGTAGACGAAATTGCAGGTGATGATGAGGGCACATTGCGCCCAGGGTGCAGCTGCGTTGGAAGAAGGAGCAGAGTCCAACGTGGCGATGACGAAGCAGAGAATCATCAGCGTCACTGTCCCCCCGATGTAGGCAGCACGGCGGCCGACGTAGGGCAGAATCCACCACGACATGCAGCTTCCCACAAAGCCGATAGAGGTGAGGCCCAAGTTCATGCTGAACGCATTAGAAGAGTCAAGGCCGACCAGCTCAAAGAAATAGACTGCATAGTTGATGAATGAGATGTTCCCCGTAAAGGCCTGCATGTCGTATGCCATGACGCAAATAACGAGGCGGTGTAGGTTGGCCCTCCTGAAGACCTCGAAGATGGACGGCACGCCCTCGGCTTGCATATATAGTGATTCAAGACGTAGCGTCTCATAGACATGTGATAGCTTGAGTGAAGGATCAACGTGCTTAGATGCGAGCCTCCTGATAGACCTCTCCACACGATCATCCTTCCCGCCCTTGGCCAGCCAGAAAGGCGGATCGGGGCAGAAGAAGATGAGGATCAGCATCGTGGCCGGGAGAGCCCACCGTGTGGCAATCGGGATCTTGTATGCCTCTTTGCCATCCAGAATCTGCGTGCCCTTGAGGATTCCCGACGCAATGAACTGGCCAACGACAAAGGCGAGATTGGTCATCGAGGCGGCAAACCCGCGCAGGGCCAGCGGGCATACCTCGCCGATGTAGGACGACGCGCAGATAGGGTACAAGGCAATGACGCTCCCGTTCAGGAGCTCCCCCGCAAACAGCTGCGCGGGCGTCTAACTATAGAACTGGATGAAGATGAAAGCCAGAGAGCAGCACGAACTTCCGGCCATCATGACCCTGGGACCGAGTCGGTCGTAGGCGAACCCCGCCAGCACGGCTCCGACGACCGCACCGGCGAGATTGGCGTAGTTGAAGGCTCCCAGCCAGCGAGCCTCAATGACGTACTGGCCATCGTAGACGTAGCCGTACTGGCGCTTGAACGGGTCCAGGCCAACGAGCGAGCCGACGATGGTGCCGTCCATGCCCTTGAGCACAGTGGCCAGGTTGATGAAGAGGTCCCATAGGACGGCGGGATAGTATAGCTGCAGGGCTTGCCATAACCTCGAGGAGTGTTCCAGTTCCGTGTATCGGAGGGACTTTTCAGCTTCCGAGCCTGGATTACGGGCACTGTCGCCGACCACAGTGCCGTGTTTGTTATTGACCGTTGGGGACGATGGGGAGGAAGACATGGTGTTAATGGTGTAAGCCGGTCAAAGCTCGAGTAGAAAGATGAAGTGGAGATTACACCTGAGCGGCCTTGGATGGTGCTACCTTTAATTCATATACCACGATATCAAATACCTGGAGGGAAGACCTGAGGGCTGATACGAACCAGAAGGTCATATTCCTTCTCCGCCCGCCTCCCCGTCGGCGACCGGATATTCACATCATACCAGACCTGTTTCCGACACAAGTAATTTAATTTTGTGTAAGCCTTATCATTGAGCCGAGACCCTGCTTGCTGGGTCGACAGGACCAGAAGAAGATGCGAAGGGTCCAATCGGCTGGTCAAGTCGAGCGTGGTGTCCCGGTCGCTCAATAAGCGGAGTCAGGAGTCCGCCGTGACAGAGTGCCGTCGAATCGGACCCGTATCGTCACCCCAGACGGAAATAATGGGTGCCGATATGCTTGTTGGTTGTAGACGAAGACAAGGTGAAATACGAAGTACACAACGGGCGCACTTAGCCGGAATAGGAAGACGTAACTGTTGCAACCACCCCCCACCCCCGGTCCGGTCATCCGATAACGCTCGTGGACTATTGGAAAGAGATCTAGGGGTCTAAAGTCATAGCCTATACCGTCAGCTCGTCGCAAGGACTCTTGAATGTAGAAATATAGAACCAGCGGATCCTTGACCGTGAGGAACGGCATATGTTCTGTAATCGGAATCTGGCATGGCGACATCATCCCGCGCACACCCCAGCATAATACATGCAGTTTCCCCTCTTCGCTATCAGCTGGCCTTGTGAAATCTCTTGGTATATTTAGCGACGGTAATCGGAACAGAGCAAGTTTCTTTTAATCCTAAGCATCTAATCTATGCCGAGGCAGCCTCGATAGCATACCCACCCGCTCTCTCTCTGTGTTCCTATCTGCATCTTTATCTCATCTACAACCGTCATGGCTGTCGCCAGCACCGCAGACGGCAAAGCCGTGGCCCAGCCCCAGATGGCCATCATCGATCTCCATCCCGATGAGCTCTCCTCCAGGACCATGGGGTCTCACAACCTCCAAGCAGCCGTAGAGGCTCTTCATCGCGACGGCATTGTGGCCATCAGCAACGCTATTCCCGTCCCCCAGCTAGACCACCTGAATGATCGCATGACCCGCGAGGCCAAGGAGCTCTACGCCCGCCCGGGAACGCACCGCAACTTTGGCAAGGACACGGGCAACATCCAGCAGGAGCCTGTACTGAAGGAGGGCTACATCACGCAGGATATCCTGGCCAACCCGTTCGCCACGCAGGCGGTGCAGTGCATGCTGGGTCCGAAGCCGCGCCTGCGCTTCTACAGCGCCAACACGGCCTTCAAGGCTGACTCCAGGCAGCCGCCGCACATCGACATCGATTTTGACTTCCCCAAGGTGCCGTTCGGCTACTGCATCAATGTCAGCCTCGTGGACACGTCGCCCGAGAATGGCGCCACAGAGGTCTGGCTGGGGACCCACGTCGACACCGACAACAGGGTCCTGGACACGACCAAGACGCACAAGGAGATCAAGGTTGATCTCCGCGAGGAGCGCCGCAAGGTCTGCCCGCCTCTTCAGCCGTCCCTGCCTAAGGGGTCCCTCATCATTCGCGACTTCAGGCTGTGGCATGCTGGCATGCCTAACACTACTGATGAGCCGCGTGTCATGCTCGTCTCGGTTCAATTTCCGAGCTGGTACAGGAGTAACCTCCGCATGAAGCTTCCTGAGAGTATCAAGGAGAAGATGGAATGGGGTGATGTCGTTCCCTGTGTGGACTGGATGGAGGATGGATACGATTATCTCCAAGGTGCCCACGACCATGACTTTACGCTTCTCCCCTAGACAGTCCAGTATTTCTATGGTTGTTGTAGGAGGACTGTCAAGGGAAAAAACCATATACGGTTGTCAAGTATCAAAGTTATTTGCGTTCAATGTCTATAGCCCCGCCTCCTGATCCAACACCACCCATGCAACTGCTTTTTTCTCTGGGTAACTTTTGGACTATCCATCCAGTAGATAGCCAGCCAGCCTTTCTTGCAGCAGCGTCGGTGCCGTTCAGATAGGCGGGGATGTTGATGGCAGGTGTCTCCATTGGTGTTGGCAATGCGTGTAACACGTGTGAGCCAAGATGATTGGGTTGGTACAGGGATCACGAGAGAACAATGGAGTTCCTTTGTAGATACTTTGATGTAAATGTCCTCTGAAGGGTCGTTTACTAGCTGTACATTCCTAGATGCCGTATAAGTAGAAGGTCGGAAACCCCACGACTTATCGCCACCCCTCAGGTTCCTCTACTTCGGTGCAGATTGCGGACTTGATCCAGTATACGGTATGTGTAGTCACTCTGTCTTGTACTTGTAAGATAGGAGTGTAGGACGCCGATATTGTATGGATTCAATACCACCCGATGGACTTATACGCTGGCCACAATACTAACCGTGACATTGTCGATGTCGGTGTCGTAAACCGCATATAAGTTTCTGTTTATAGCAAAACACCTCGAAACCATCAGACTACCGATTTAACTGAGAAAGGCCGGTCAAAAAATAGATTGACAAGTTGGCCATGAAGTGGTAAAGGCGTTGCCAATTCATGCTGCCTCCACTGCAGCCATCTTACGCTCGGTACGCAATCCCTCTTAGGTCAAGATTCAGTAGGGAGCAACATCTGAAATCGCTAGTATCGATTCACCCATCCAATGGGGCGGTGGCGTAGTTGGGAGCGCGTCAGACTGAAGTAAAACTTCAATCACAATATCTGAAGGTCACCGGTTCGATCCCGGTTCACCCCATTCTTTTTTTCCTCCCCTCTCTTCCTATCCTAGTGTGGATGGTGAAGCAGCCACCAGGGGGAGCTTCGTATTCTTTTTGTTAGCTCGTTTGTTCGCACATTCAAACATCTCGCAGCATTGACCACATGACAATCGGTGTTTTCCATGCGGTCGACGCTCATCACGACACTGTACACCGCCTGCGCTGTTACCGGGTGGAAGGCAGCTGCAGGCTATCTTTCTCAATTTCCTCTCCCTGTTTGGTTATTAGGTAGTCATCTGCATCATCACGACGCTCGAGGACGAGTTCCTATTCGGGAAGTTGTGTCTTCCCAAGGGGTATGGCTGGGGCAGATGAGCCGGCGTGACGCATCTTCCCGTCGGGTATGCTGCTTCTGCGAGCTTCCTGGTCGGTTGGGCGGGTGCTGTTCTGCGCTTGTACCAGAAGTGCTCTTGATTCTGCAATGGTTGGCACTGGAGCTTGTGCAGGTTCCTCCCCCCTTATCCTTCTCTCTTTTGTTCAATATTGATGGTCAAGACAGCTTGGGCTCCCCGTTGCTCTGACGTGGATGGGGTTGGTGTATACGCCGCTGCGGTATCTCGAGCTCGAGAGAAAGCTGGTCCGTAAATGGCCATATTTGGTGTAGAGAGGTAGAGTATTGATGGGGTACGTTTTATCAACATGCTTATGCATGCATCGCAACAGAAAAGAGTGTTCGTGATGGAATTGTTTGTATCGAAACATTGGTAACAGTGAGTTCCAGTATATCACGTGACTAAATGGCCGTCAGGACTGAAGCTTCAGTAGAACGCAGCTCAAAATTGGAGACTTCGATTGAAAGTGGCAAAACACTCTTCCGTTGGGATGAAGATCTATTGAACAGGTCGCTATACCTCGAGCCTCGGCAGAAATACTCTCCAACAATTTTCTGACCCGATCCGTCATCGCCCAGCTGCACGCATCCCGCAACCCCTCCACCGGCCATGGCCCAGCCAGCGCCAGACTCACTCGTCAACGGCGATGACGGCAGACGCTACTGGGATGGTATCAACGCCGACGTTAACGGCATGCTGGGTGGATTCTCGTCCATTACTAGAGTTGATCTACAGGGATCAAGAAGCTTTCTTGCCAAGCTTGGTATCGGGACCAAGAAAGACAGGAGAGTGGTACAACGAGCTCTAGAGGGTGGTGCTGGGTATTTCCCCTCTCTCTCTATCCGCTTCTACTCTATTCCCATATATCTCTCCTTTCATATGCTGACAAAAACACTTTCCCTCGATCAAAGTATCGGGAGAGTAACTCAAGGCATGCTAGTCAACGTAGCCGAGACAGTCGACGTGATTGAGCCCATTGCCAAATTCACAGCCAATCTGGCCGATAAGCCTGGCGTAGGCACAGTATTCAACATGGGCCTAGAGGAATGGACCCCTTCCCCCACAGATGTGAAATACGGTCTGGTATGGATCCAGTGGTGCGCGGGCCACCTGTCAGATGCGCAGCTCGTCGAGTTTCTGAAGCGGTGCAAGGGTGTTCTCGTCCCCGACAGTGGCGTCATTGTCGTCAAGGAGAATCTTGCCTCGGGGATCGAAGACGTGTTTGATAAGGTTGATAGCAGCGTGACGAGGTATGTTGTTGTTGCTGCTTCCCTTTCCCCTCCCCACTGGGCATGGCCAGTCTGCTCTGTTCTGTTCCGCAAGCTTACAGTGGTTTGATTTGGATTGCAGACGAGAAAGCAAGTTCCGGGACATCTTTGAGAGAGCCGGACTGCGCATCGTCAAGACGGAACTGCAGAACGGGCTGCTCGAAGCTAGTAAAGAGAATCTATTCCCCGTAAGGATGTTTGCGTTGAAGCCTGCAGTTGCACGGTAGCGGGGAGTTTATAGGCTTGGAGAGAGACAACCAGATGATGACGATATGTATCAGGCATCGAATCTCCATACGAATCTCCTCAAAAGAAGTAATAATACGACATAGGGGAACCTGTATTATCCTCGTGTTAGACGGTGCGCGCCGTAGCATGGCAGGTCTCAAGCAGGATGTGCATACACAAGTCTTCGATTGATACAGTAATTAAATCTACATCATCCATATAAACATCAGAGCTCAGCTAGACGATGTCACTTAAGAAGGGGGACTAGGCTGCTCATAGTGCTATCAAGATCTTGGTTGGAGTGTCCGGGAATATCCCCGCCAGATGGCGTGCGGGGATCAGAGAGCGGCGACCAGAGCCTAAGATAGGATATGTTAAAGTGCCTCGGCTAGGCTCCATCTCTAGACATACAAAAACCAGCAACGACAATCCATTGAATCCCGATTGTAGCATACGCATTGAACGTTTCTATGTCTGTTAGGTACACTCATATGTGTGCCCATCATTCAAATCGTTCGACATCATCATAATTGATAACTTTATTGGAAAATCAAGAGTTCAACTGCTTCACCCACACCCCCACCCCCGTCATGGCACCTGACCCAAAGCTCTCCCTTGACGAACGTATCCCTTGGAGCGAGCCAGCATGGGTCCGCACCCTCTCTTCTCCATACTACAATGACACCCACCGGCAGCTCCGGGAAAATGTCCGTGCTTACGTCGACAAAGAGATCCTCCCGCATGCACTCGAGTGGGAGGCCAAGGGCACCGTCCCGCTCGAGGCTGCCATCAAATTCTCCAAGTCGGGTATTCCCTTTGAGAACGTGCCAGCCCAGTATCGTCCCTCGTACGTTCCCCAGCTGGCAGGTATCCCTCAGGACAAGCAGGACGCCTTCCACGCTCTCATCATGACCGACGAGATGAGCCGTGTCGAGGGCGGCGTGGGCATCGCGCTGGGCGGGGCATCCGCCATCGGCGCGCCGCCCATCGTCCACTACGGCACCGAACAGCAGAAGAGGCAGTGGCTCCCTGGGCTCTTCTCGCGCGAGACCAATTTCTGTCTGGGAATAACGGAGCCCGGCGGCGGATCCGACGTGGCCAACATCGCCACCACGGCGACCAAGACGGCCGACGGTAAGTTTTACGTCGTCAATGGTGCCAAGAAGTGGATCACCGGAGCGCCCTGGGCAACACATATGACGACTGCAGTGCGGACAGGTGGCCCGGGACTCAGGGGTATCTCCGTGCTTGTCATTTCCTTGGAAACTCCGGGTGTGAGCCGTGAAAAGATTGAGAATAGCGGGCAGAATGCCGGTGGTGCCTCGTTTGTCGACCTAGAAGACGTCCGTGTGCCAGTAGAGAACCTCATCGGCCTCGAGAACCAGGGATTCCCCGTTATCATGAAGAACTTCAACAAGGAGCGCTACATCCTGGCCGTGGGGTGCAACCGCAAAAGCCGCACCTGTCTCGCCATGGCCTTTGCCTATTCCCTGCGGCGCGAGACGTTTGGAAAGAAGCTCATCGAGAGCCAGGTAATCCGGCGCAAGCTGACGGAAATGGCCCACCGCGTCGAGGCTCACTGGGCCTGGCTTGAGCAGCTTGCCTACCATGTCAGCACGTCGCCTGAAGGGTGGCAGAGCCCCGATATCGCCAGCCGTATCGCCCTTCTCAAGATCCAGGGCGGTCAGATTCTCGAGTTAGCCGCCCGGGAGGCCCAACAGGTATTTGGTGGTGCAGGATATCAAAAGGGCGGGCCGGGAGCCACTGTCGAGCAGATTTCGAGAGATCTGCGGATGAGTGTGGTGGGCGGTGGAAGCGAGGAGATCATTTCCGATCTAGCGGTTCGGCAGGAATTGGGGTCGATGGCCAAAGGAAAGCTATGAGTTTAAATATTGCCTACTATCGCTAACAATTCGAATCACCAATTCAGCTGTTTCAAGTCATCCTCCTATGCTCTTGTCAATGTCGGTAACGATATCCGACACTGTTCTGTAGGGGGATAACAAACTCGAAGGAGCACCGAGAATCTGTCATTGCGTGCATCAGAGTCCGCCTATCATTACTCAAGGCTCTCTGGGAATTGGATAAAGCGTAGCGACTCTCTCCCAAAATATGTCTCGTGGGATGGTGATGATATTACCAGAATGGGATGGAGTGGGAGAGTTTGATGAAAGTGCAGGAGCGACTGATCTGTGCCTTCCCAAGCGTCTAATGCCCCGCTATCCGCTCCACGCCGCGGCCCGGGAAGGAGCTCCACAGAGATAGATTGACACTGACACAAACGCCATTTCCGGCGGAAATGGCATATTAACGCGTTTGTTTGAAGTATCAGTCTCTTCTGGATCGACGGTCTGCTATTCGAAATACCGTACATACCTCATATGTGTTCAAAAATGTTCGTCATCATTCATTTGATGAGGGGTACGCATACTCGTACACATAACCTCCCTGCTTCGGCGACTTCCTTGTCTGGATTAAATCGCTTCGAGGAGGGGCGACTGCCAGAGCGCAACCGTGCGAATAATAACAGGGCAGGTACGACTGATCAGCCTGGGTGCCTGCCCACCGCCGTGCTCATTAAGAAGCTTTGATTCCTTTCCTCAACACCAAGACCTCAGGTTCTCGTCTGCTGGTGATGGCTTCATCCGTTCACAAATGTGCTTTCAACTGCATTATGAGTCAAGATCCAGCTGTACCGTTTGCCCATCCACCAAGAATGAGCGTTTCAACGTGCAGATACGACTAGCTATCTGCGTGATCATATCTTGCAGCCAACACCGCACAGTCTGCCCGGGGGGTAAGCAGACTGTACGTCCGTCCCCCCAGTGGAGCAGAAGCGCCAGATAGTCCCCAATGGCAATCACCTACAGATTACGCTGGGAGTAGAGGGCAGCAGCCAGCAGCAGGTTTCTTCAGTGTTCCTTAGTCGAGAGAGGGGTGACCCTGACTGTCTCGTTTTCCCTCGCCGGTCAAGTCCAGGTTTACAAAGCTGAAGTCCAAAAGTACGACAGCGGTAGAGACTGTCTTTCTCTCTCCCTCGTTCACGCCAACCCGAGCTTCCACGACGTCTCAACGAGCTGTGTGCTGGGGAGCCATTCGTCAAGGTATGCCAGCAATGAATGGAACAACTGATACGGTAGGGGGATAGGGAAGAGAGAGAGTTGCAATTGACACCCAAGGGAGCAGGATCGACCAAAAAAAAAAAGGCCTCGCAGTAGCAGCACATTGACAGACAACGCCGCCTTCTAGGAGCACAGCTCCCACTCCAGTGCGGGCAAATACTCATCCACGACTGCGTTGAACATCAACCGAACATTCGAACCAAGTACCTGGTCTGCTTAACATTTATATACCCGTACAGAAAAGAACGAGACCCCTAGTGACATACGTGGCTGGCGAGGATTGTGCTCCGTCGGTTGGTTGCTGACACTTCTGCTGTTTCCTGGCCCCGCACCCGCGAGCAACATGTCCGACAACTTGCAGCATCTACAGGGGTCCTCCCTTTCACACGCGCCAAAACGTCCTTCGGAGAGGCAGGCATCTTCGTGCAACGAATGTCGCCGTCGCAAGCAAAAGGTATTCCCGTCATGTTCTTGCTATTTTTGTCATCATCCTCCAACATTCCGCTTCGTTCAATGGCCCGGAACATTCCCTGGGCCACAATTCCATGCTCCACGTCGTCTCAAGCTCTGAGCTGGCGCGGCGCCACATCTAAGCAGGCTTTTACCACTTGGAGATGAGGATTTGCACTAACACCCAAGCTTTCGGCGCCCCCATTAACGCCATTATCATCCCGAGTAATACAACTGACAAGTGCCCTGCCGTCTCTAGTGTTCCCAGGGCCAGCCTTGCACCAATTGTGCTCGCCGTTTCCCTCAGCCTATATGTGCATATGACAAGAACCCTAGAAGGTAAGTTGGCTGTGGGCCGAGCGTTCAGGGTGAGACCGTGAGAGGTGTTACTGTGTCCCGGGATCGATGTTAATGATTCTTGCCCACATCATAGGAGACGCGGCCAGCGAGTGCCGGATGGCCCCGCTGCTAAAACGGTCTCCAAGGAGGGACCGTACCCACACCTAAACCTTTCAGGGATACAAGATGCACTTCTACAGCTCGAATCGGCTTCAAGCAGCACAGAGTTCAGAGGGGATGAGCTTTCCCCCTTTTCCAACGACCCTTTTGCGCTTGCCTCCCTACCAGGAGATGTGCTGGGCAATCAACAGGAATTTGTAGGCCATGTTCGAAATTGGCTTCCATTTCGATTGGATGGGAACGGCAAATATGATAATGCAGCTCACCAATTGGCCTTTGGTGGCGGCGGCGGTGGCCCTGAGTCGTCCTTCCAGCCTCGAACCGGGAATATTTCACAGCCCTTGTCCAGGGAGGAGTGGATGACGGACACGGCCCGGTTGGTGTCGGCCGTCCAGACATCGATTCACCCTGCTCCGTCTCTCCAGAAAATGGACCAGGAGTTTAGTCACCTGCCTATGGTGCCTACCAAGCTTAACAAGGAGCTTGTACGGACGCGTACGTTTCCCCTTCATCGTCAATGTTGTTGAAGAATGTTGCCAAAAACGAGAGGAAGAGAGGGACCTCCGATTTGGTTGAAAGAGAACTCGATGAGCTGACACCTGCCCAGATCTACGGCTTCTATCTCGTTTCAAGGCCTCGATAAGCGGCATACCCAACCCCGAGAACCCTTTTATGAAACACTGGATTCCGTACATCATCCAGGACCCGCTCCTCATCAACACGGTCCTCTTCACCTCGGCCTGCTTCCTCAACGAAACGGGCCACTTGCCCAAGTCCGTTGTCGTCTTGCTGCGGGGCATGGTTTTTCAGTCGTTGAACAATACGCTGCGGTCTCGCGAGTCCCAGACGAGTGACTCGGCTATTCTTGCTGTTGCTGAGATGATTCTGGACGAGTGGTACTGGGGTAGGACGCAAGACCTGCATGCGCATACCAACGGGCTGAAAACGATGATCAATATGAGGGGGGGGCTGCAGCATCTGGGAATGCATGGATACACGAGTAAGATGATATTGATGTAAGTCTTGGCTTTTCTTCCTCTCTGTCTCTCCATGTATCCCCTGCTGGAAACTGACAGTGTGACGTGTCCAATGCAGCCACGATATTTGCATGTCTCTCGCCCATGAGGTGCAGCCTTCCATATACGGTCGTCCTGGATTTGAATTCACCGATCACATCTTGGTTCCATTCCAACTAGCCCTCAACTCGCCTCTCATGACGGGCTGGCCTAGCTTTGAGAGTTCTGCTGCATCGCTGCGCCTGCACACTTACACGGCCATGATCCTGGACAATGCGAGAAGCATGTTTGACGCCGTGCTCTCGCTACCCCTCGACGCAACGGGAGGACAGATCCAGCAGGTGATGGCCTTTGTATCGGGCATATTAGATGCGATAAGACAGTTACCAGAGAGTGTGCCTCTGTACGAATCAATCAGGGCGCCTTCTTCTGTGGCCGGGGGCTCGTCAAACACTGGATCTCCATCTGGAAGAAACGAGGGCGAATCCTCCCAGTCGCCTCCCGGAAGCACCAAGAAACAAGATTCAAGCCCGGCCAGCACAGTGGTCATGGAGCGGAACTCACCCCCGGCCGACGTTCCAGATCCGGTGTACCGCATGGTGCGCATGATCGCCACGGTGTACTGCCGCGCCATTCTGAGCCGGTCTCCCGTGAGTATGGTGTGTGGCCCGAGCGAGTTGATGCAGATCTGGGGACTGTCGTGGCGCATCCCGCTGGCGTCGAGGGTATCGATACTGGGCATATACAACTGGACCATGCTCACCCTCTCGCCCGGCTGCCACTCTGCGGCGCCCGCGCGCTTCATCAAAAGCCTCTTTGTCAACGGCATGCTCAATTCTGCCGTGGACAATTGGCACGTGACACTCGATATGGCGGACAGGGCGTTTAGGCTACAGGCGTGGCTGAGGGGATCAACGACGTCGCGTGGCATGGTGTTTGGCGGGGAGGGGTCAATTGAGAAGTATGGGTTTGCGATCAAGGAGGTGCTACCGCATATCGCGAACGTGCATCGGGCGGACGGCGATATTGGTCGGGGGGGGAGGATGATGCTACGGGTGAGCAGTGATATTTGGGCAAGTTGAATGTGACGTATGGAGGGCCATGCCATCCCCCCCAACCACATGATGACTGCTCATGACGGCGATGATGGTAGAATGATGCGGATGCACCACCGGCCGGTACACACGGGAAACGCCAGGGCCCGTATGTCTAATGCATGTGCACCTGATTGAGCCACAGGACTGCGGGTAAGATATGACCCCGTATACAAAGGTCTGCACACAACAATTTGCTTATATGGCCTCGCTGGATCCAATGACCAGCATCCCCTCCCTTATGACTCTATCGCCTCACCCCAGAGTCTCCCCTTCTGATACGATACCTAGCTAGTGCCCACCCATAGTCTGATCTGTTACCTGGCAGTAACGATGATAGTCTTCTCAGACACCCAAATCCAAACGCTGGTGAGGACTATCCTCGTCCCGGGAGCCAAAGGGTATCAAGAGGTCATGAAACGATACGAAACAATCACGGGAGCAGTAAGACTACTAAAACCCGGCCATTCCTCCGTCCCATTACCATATCGTCGTGGCTTGCGGGTCTGATCAGGCCGAACAGGCAATAATAGCAACACCGTCGACGACAGAAGAGACATACCTGGCCATCCTGTTTGCGACACTGAGCAGCATGGCCATCTCCGTCCCGCACAGAGGCCACGCAGCTACAGGGACGGGGACGGAGAGTGGGATATACGGGTTGACGATGGTGATGGATCTAGACAAGCTGAAAAGGGAGATGATGATGATGTGTTTTGGGGTGTTTCTTCGGGAGAGAGGGTTGGGGTTGTTATCTGGAGTAAGATGGAGATGTGTAAGGGGCAGGGGTCTTGACGGAAAGAATTGTATACAGGGAAGATGGTGAAATGTACTCTGATACCACACAAAATTCATCGATAGCATTTAAACAATGAATCCGAAAAAAAAGGTTTATTCGATAATGTAATGATGGTCATATGTATTGATTCCTTGATGTCTTCATGGCGAACCATATACGTATAGGTAGGTATAGGGTAGGATATGGTACATCTCACAGCCCCACCAGCCAGCTTCCCATCTATTATCTCCCACTTCTAACTCCCTCCCCCCACTTCCAACCTCCAAAGTAAACAACAACAACAACAACAACCGCCCCATCGAACCTCATCTCTTCACCAGCTCTGACAACAAACAAACGTCCAGATTCTCCGGCCTTTGAAAGGGAAAAAATGTCGACGTCGACTAAACCAAAGTCGTCTACCAAGCCGTCTTCCAAGGACAAGGACAAGGACAAGGACAGCAAGTCCAAGGTGCACAAGCTTGCCATCAAGGGCAGTGCCAAGATTGTAGCCGAATTCGTGAGTAACTGGTCATCCATCTCTTGCCGCTGTGCATGTGAGCTGTCAGTTCCGGGGGGGGGGGTGGCTAATGCGAGGCAGTTCCAATATTCGATCCATACCATTCTGTACGCGAGCGAGAACCATGTTAGGCCTTGAAGAAAACGAAAGGAAGCGATCCCTCCAGTGCTGACAGTAACGTAAAAAAAAAAAAAAAGATTTCAACGAGGCGTTTATCCTGCCGAAGACTTTACAGCGTATGGAAATTCAATACTTCTTCCTCTTTCGGAGCATGACAGGAATCAATGCTAGAGGTGCTGACTTTCTTTCGGCAGAGTCAAGAAATATGGTCTCAATATGCTGGGTAAGAAACTGTGCTCTGAAGGACTTGAAATGGGAAAGAAAGGGGGGTAGACAGGACATACTGACAGAATCTTTCTAGTCTCGGCCGACGACCAGGTCAAGGCGTACATTAAGAAGATCATGTCCCAGCTCGACAAGTGGATGGTCCGCGGCAAGATTTCCAAACTGGTGATAGTCATAACCAACAAGGATACGGGGGAGCATGTTGAGCGATGGCAATTCGATGTCTGTCCTTTCTCCCCTTCTTCTTCTTCTTCCACTTTCCTCTCTCGATATAGTCCTGACATGTTCGTTGCTCGTACAGGTTCAAATCTTCCAACCGCCCAAATCCAAGAAATCCTCCTCCTCGTCAAAGGACACGGCCGATCAGGAGAACAGCGCGTCGGCAGCCACCTCCCAGGACGGCACCGCCCCCGAGAAGTCCGAGGCCGAGATCCAGAGTGAGATCGCCGCTATATTCAGGCAGATCACCGCGTCCGTCACCTTCCTCCCACAGCTCGACGGCGACTGTACCTTCAACGTGCTCGTGTACGCCGACGCCGACTCTGACGTGCCCATCGAGTGGGGGGACTCGGATGCGAAGGAGATTGAAAATGGGGAGAGGGTTCAGCTCAGGGGTTTCAGCACCGCCAACCACCGTGTTGATACCCTTGTTAGTTACCGGTTGGGGGAGTGAAGGCGCTCCCTTCCCCTGGACTTTCTGATCTTCATATTTGGGGGAGGACTCTCTCCTATAGCCTGCGGTCCTTGTCCTTGTCTGTTCCTAAAGAGGAAGGGGAACCGGTTCCTCAATAATTGGACGATGGTGAAGAGATGGCACATGAAAGGAAGGCGTTGACGGCGTACATTTGTTTTATTTCTTGATTTCTAGTCGACTTGATCTTCAACTAGATCTTCATCTTGTCGTTACTCTGTTCTGTTGCTCTCGGACAAAGATCCAAGCAATGCCATTCGACCTATCTCCAATGCAAGACACCAACAACACCTCGCTCTTCTCTTTATCTCTGAATCATTTCTAAAAATCACCGTACAGAGCCTCATTGCTCTCATGACCTCTCTCGCCTACTACCATGACCTCTCAACACCTTAGACTCTCTTGAAAAAGTATACATATGCAAATTTACGCATCTCCTCGACATCGTGCGCCTCGACCACCTTTTCGTCATTGAAGAGGACCCACCCTGGTGCTTCGACGCCGTTATTGTCGAGATTCTTGCGGATGAAGGCGACGTAGTGTCTTATGTCTCGTCAGTAGCGTTTCACAGCCATAAGAGGGAGCGAAGAGAAGATGGAAGAAAAAGAGACCAGGGAAAAGACCTAGGCAGGCGGAGCGAAGAGACAGGAGAGAGAAGGAGAGGAGGCAGAAAAGAAACATACCCAGTGTGTATACTCGTCCCCTTGTGGCATACAAGTGACTGAACCTGGAACCTCGCAGGAACAGCTGCGCTGCCAGCAGGTTCCTTGGGTGCCGCGGTAGTTCCACCGCCAGCAGCATCACCGCCGTCATCGTCAAAGATACCCTGATCATCAGGATGGTTGAACAGCCAGTCAACGGCCCTCTCGACATCACCATCCGTCTCCTTGAGCGCCTTCTTGGCCTGAGGCGGACCGAAGCCCATAGCGCCCAGCATCTCAATCTTTTCCGGGTCAGCGTCCGCCGCACCACCTACGCTCGCAGCTCCGCCTCCGAGATTGAGGGGCTCGTCAATATCCGGATCCTCCATATGTCCAAAGAGCCACTCCATGGCCGCATTGGCATCCGAGTTGCCCGTTGCATGGAGGGCTTTTTCGCATCGCACTTGGGGAAAGCCCATCCCTTCTAGCATGGCTAGAGCTGTAGCATCGGGTACAAAGGCCGGGGCCTGCTGAGACGACTCGACTTCGTCGGGCAGGAGCTCCTCGCCGGGCTGCTGGCCCTTGGAGAGGTATGCGTCTAGCAGGAAGGGGTCGTCGGGAACGAGGACCGGCACGTCCACCTTGATAGGGACCCAGTTGACGACCGTCATCTTCCTAGCGTTGACGGCCAGAATATCAGGCAGGGTCTTGAACAGGGACCGCTTGGTGAAGCCGTCCTTGCTGCCACAGGCCGAGCACGTCAGCTCGACCTTCTCCAGGCCTGTAAACCTATCCAAGCACTCCTGCAGCGTGACGGGTTTGTACGCGTCCGACGCGGGCCTGTCGGCATCCTGCTGTGCGGGCGGCAGTTTCTCGAGCGGCACGTCGAGGAAGATGTTGTCTTGCTCGTTGGAGCTGTATTTGACCTTGTTGCACGACAGACACTGTAGCCGCTGCTCCATCTCGAAACGAAAGGGCGTAGTGGGGTCTTTGACGTCCTGTCCAGTGTGCTGACTCCGCGTGATGATCTTGAGAATGTGCTGTAGGAACTCGAGGGCGTCCTGCTGACGCATCGTAGAGAACTCTTCATGCCCACGGCCGATGAGGTGCTTTAGCATGGCGGGCGCGATGCCCTTTTGATGCTGGGTGTCGATGTCGGCGTGGATTGACGGATCAATCTTGGCATACCTGCCCGACAGCAGGCCGTCGGCAATCTTGCGTAGCTGGGTCTCAAGATCGGTGGCCGGGTCCTCGACGAGAGGCAAGTCGTCACTGGGTCTGAAGTAGCGCTCGCGGAACGAGGGAAGGTCGAAAAGGCACTGGATGATGCTAGCCAGGTAGCAGCTGTTGCCAAGGTTGCGCAGACCAGTGAGTCCCGGGCCAAACAGCGGCTTGAGCTCTTTGCCGTCCTCGGTCGTCATGCTAAAGTCCCACTTGAGGTTCTGCTCAATTTGCATCTCCGTCAGGCTCTTCTCCGTCTTCTGACGGTCGGCCAGCATGATGCCCCAGTGGGCCAGGTGCTGCTGGAGATCGGAATCAACGCGCTCGTCGTCGCACTTGTAGCAGTAGATGTCGGCGGTGCCCTCGGGAGTGATGGAGCCGAGCTTGACGGCGACGCCATGGCCCGACTCGTCGCTGTGCGCCAGAGCGTGGGAGTTGCCGTCCACGCCGCCCATCTGCTTGCGGCCGCAGCCCAGGTTACCGCACTCGAGGCACAGCCACAGGTTCTCCTTGAGAGCGCAAGCGTAGCAGTGAGACAGATCGCCCTGCTCAATCTTGCGGGGGTCGTGCTGCTGAAGGAGCAGGATGTGCTCGCAGCTCGTCAGTTCCTGCTCCCACGCCTTGACCTCTTCCTTGCGGGAGAAGGTGTTGGCCTTCATGACGCCATCGACGACGGGGGCGAGTTTTGGATTCGCGATGTCAAGGTCGACGACGCACTCGAGACACCTCGCCGTCAGCGCCGTGTCGTATCTGTCCTCTTCCGTCTCGGCGGCAATGGCCAGCTTGGACATCTTGGCGGGGGGCTCATCGCGGACGACGACTTTGGGGGTCCGGCGGATGTTGAGAGCCAGAGGATGACCCCTCTGGACATTGTGAAGCTTTGAGTGTAGCCTGTCGCCGGCACAGCCGCCGTTGAAGCATTGGAGGCATACGTCGAGTCCGCTCGGGTCGTCCTGTACTCGGTGACGGCGGTGGTGGGGCATCCGTCAACCTCGGCCCACGCTTTGCTGCTCCCCGGGTCAGGAAGGGTCGACTTACGATGGAGTCAAAGCACTGAGTACAGTCCTCCCTGTAGACAGACTGAGCTGGTGTTGGGGGTCTGAGGCCTGGGAAGAGAAGAGAGTTGGGTGTTAGCTTGCAGAGTCGCGTGTGTAGGTATAGTCCGAAGGGATCTTTTGGAGACGAAGCTTACCAGTGACCGATTCTAGATGCGGGCACGCCATGATGGCAACCGGGAGATGCTAGCAGCAAGCGCTCCAGCCGAAAATGAAAGAGGCAATGAACAGACAGGCAGAATTATAAGAAAAAAGATGGCTTCTTCCAAGGGAAAAAAAAAAAAAGACACGACAAGGCTACAATGCAGACGCGTGACGACAAGCTTGTGTGAAGGCAAGGCAAAAAGGGCGGGGGAGGGGTGGCGCTGACGTAGCTTGGGAGTATGTGGCTTGATTTTCTGAATATTGTGGCTTGTGAGTGATGGTGTATTATCTAATCCATATACCTTACATAATACAAGCACAGACCACGTTGAAACCGGTGTGTGAGTGTGTTTCTGCCTCAGGAAACAATGAAGGAGGGCACCGGCCCACATCCACACCCACACTCAGGGGCCAACAGAAGCGTAAACGGTAAACGTCACTGATTGCGGAGAACCAAGGATAATCTGATTGATACGTCGTAGTCCACAGTTATGGATCCCTTTCGCTGATCCTTTGCGTACGACGACCCAACAGGAGCTCAGCGATTACACAACCACACATTTTCTGTCCGTTTCATAGGACAGCTGTGTAATCTCCTGTACTAGACTTTGATCTCACGTCTAAAAAGACGCACGGCCGCCCCATCAAAACAGAGTCAGAGAGAGAGAGAGAGGGGGGGGAGGGGAGAGAGAGGAGGGGGAGTGCTGACCAGGAAGAATGTTTCCTTTTATCCCGCCTTCCAGATTTGCATTAGTGACGGAACTGCTCTGAGAGTTCTTGACCATCATCACCTTTGTGCTCTCTCTCTCTTTTTGTTCTTTTCTTCTATACTTCTTTGCTTATTCTTTTTCCCCTCTTTTTTTTTTCTTTCCCTTTTTCAATTCCTGGTCTATTGCTAATACATGATGATACTCTCAGTAACTGTCTGCAATTAGAGTAACGAGAATGGCGATACTATCGTGGCGGCGGCATTGTACAACGTAGACCAGCTTTGACACTTTACAGTAATGGGCCCGTGGTTGACTGAAACATCACGCTCTGGCTGGCTGCCTGCTGCGATGACGGTAATCTGCATCTCAGATACGCACAGCTCTCAACCGCAGCTGCCCGACGGAGACATGCTCATCCACGCGTGCGACTTGACATGATCGGGAAACACTTGAGGAGTTACGGATCTGTACAGGCCACCTTGAATTGGCTGCTCCGCGCCCAGCCTCACCGGTCAAGGAGAAAGATGCGGCAGCACAGGGGCAGCTTGACTAGGGCGGCATGGTATACCTGGAGAACAAGCAAGAGGACCACTGCGTATCTAAACGGACGGTGTCTACGTAGTATCTACGGGAGTCCGCCGTCGTAGCGTCACGGCAGCTGGGCCTTCCCAGCATCCCCGCACGCCGACCTTCACACCCCCGTACACAGCAGCAGGACGTCTCGCCGGGGGTGGATATTATGGTCACGCACGGTCCGCCGCTCGACGGTCTCGACCTCGGGTATGGATGCGGACGCCTGCTCTGACGCTGTGAAGGGTGCGTCCCAAGCTGGGAGTTGTTTTTTCTTTAACATGTTCACGAAGGTGCCGGGTCAGAGTAGGTGCAGTTTGACAGAAGGCCTGCTAAAGTCGTGACAACACAATGATGGGTAGACAAGAAAAAGTGATACTGACAATGATTCTCGATGGAATGGATCAGACATGTTCATGTGTCGTTGAACGACATGGAATCACAATCCATGTGTTGAATGACTCAGCAGACAGAGAGCATTGACGTAACATAGCGGACGGGGAAATCCATCTCAACCATCGGTCCATCGAGATTCGGGAACTATTACGTCGTGCTGATTGGACTTTGGGAGAGTTTCCCCTCCTCCCCTCCCCCCCTCCCCCCTTTTCCTCCCCTCCTAGCCCGGTGTCGGCTACCGGTCGGATCGGATGAGGCTAGATCTGTTAGGGGGGGGGGGAAGGTGGTGAAGACTGGAAGAGTGACAGCATAGTGGCGTCTGCTGGCGGCGTACAAAGTTGAGAGTTGCATTGCGACCAAGATTGGGCTGGGGGGGGGGGGGGAGCGCCCAATCACTCACACTATTGTAGAGTGAGAGCGAGTGGAAAGGATGAAGGAGTCGTAGCCGAGTCCCCGCGGACGGTCCGGTCGGGAATGTGACTAGGAGTGAACAGGACGGGGTATTGGTTGAGTTGGTCCGAAAAGTCCGAATTATGTCCTTCGGCATTTTGGGATGATTCATAGAAAGAATTCTCAAATGCGAGTACGGATACAGATGGTGAAAAAAAAAACATCAAAAAAAAAGTAATGATATTGTACTCTATTCTGTTGTAATGGCCGATGACCGGCGTAACCCTGGTACTTGGTTTTTACATACTTTTTTTTTAATCTTCTCTCTCCTCTATTCCTCTCCTTACCCTCCAGGCCAAAAGAAAAAAAACGGGTCAAGATACCTGCGCAGTTTTTATCAGATGCAAACAAATTGCAGTCAGTGCCGTAACTCGCTGGGCTCATCCGCCCTTTTTCCGAAGAGCCGAGCTCGTAATGACGATAGACGAGGTCATAGATGATTGGCCCATTCCGTTTCGCCTCTAGTTCCCGCATTTGCTTTGAAATCCCCCAGCCGATGCCCGCCCAGCTTCTGATTCCTTTCTTCTTTTCTTTTCATCATCATCAAGAACGAAACTTGCACCATTCGAAAATTCATTAAACCGTTTGAACACTTCTGTGTTTATCATATCGAAACATACACGAAACGAACAAGATAGGAAATAACTCGAATACCCTCGAATCGACGAATACAACTTCATCCCTTGAGAAGAAAAAAAAAACCCCAAGGGGCTTCGACATTTTCTCAACCGACGCACACAACGACGCAGTCAACACACAACGCAGCACAGTATACCACAAAGAAAAAGAAGAAGAAAATGTTCTCCCGTGGACTCCGTATCGCCTCGACCAGGGCCGTCGGCGTTGCTGTCGCCCGTCCTGCCCTCTCCGCCGCCGCCCGTCCTACCACCATCTCCCACGTCACCCAGGTCTCACCGTCGTTGGCCGGCTTCAACGCCCGCCGTTCCTACCATGAAAAGGTCCTGGACCACTACTCCCGTCCGCGCAACGTGGGATCTATGGACAGGAGGGACGCCGACGTCGGTACCGGCCTCGTCGGCGCCCCTGCCTGCGGCGACGTCATGAAGCTCCAGATCCGCGTCGACCCCAACACAAACACCATCTCCGACGTCAAGTTCAAGACCTTTGGCTGCGGCTCCGCCATCGCCTCCAGCAGCTACCTCACCGAGCTCGTCAGGGGCATGAGCCTCGAGGATGCCGGAAAGGTTAAGAATACCGAGATTGCCAAGGAGCTCTGCCTCCCTCCCGTCAAGCGTATGTCTCCCCTTCCCGTTCTCGTTTGATCTCGATAGAAAAACAAGAAGATAAATCATACGAATCTGGTGAGAAAATGACTAACTCTGATCGTACAGTTCACTGCTCTATGCTCGCAGAGGATGCCATCAAGTCCGCCCTGGCAGATTACCACACCAAGAACCCCAAGGCCAAGTCGACCAACCTCGCCGGCACAGAGGTCAAGTTGCCCACCGGCGATGCCTCTCCTCAGGCTGCCGCAGCCTAAATTAGGGAGAAAAACCTCCTTGTCTGTTTTCGTCTCTTCTGTCCTTTTTTTTTCTCTCCCAAACTTTCATTTCGAGAGAAGAGAAAGGGAGAATTTCGCAACTGTGGAAATTAACCGGAGAAATGGGTTCTATATCTTAATACTTTGAACCCCTTGGAGTTATTATTGGGGGGGTTTTGTTTTTTCGAGGAAAGGAGAAGAAGATGATGCCAGATGAAGAAAAAAAATTCAACGCCGTGGTATTGACGCAACGCAAGTTGACAAGACAAAAAAACGTTTTGGGTTCCTTTGACCCTTTTTTTTCGCCACTGTTTTTCTCCTCTCTTCTTTTGCCATATTCTTCTCTTCTCTTCTTACCTTGTCCTTTTCTTCTTCTTTTAGTTCGAAAACTTATCGGAGATACCCCCCCCCCCCCTCCTCTTTGATACCGCGCGGGGGTTGGCCAGTGGATGGAAAATGACAAAAACGGGTTGGATTTCTTTTTTTCCCTGCATGCATCGGTCGGTGTGAGATGGTCCAATGGTTGGAACAAGTGGCCCATATGGAGAAGGACAGGGGGCTGCTCTGTATTCAAATTACTCTATAATCATGAATTTTTTTTTGAATTTTTTTTTCTCAAGTGATGCATTGCAGGCTTCCTTACTTGACGACTACCACTGCTGACTATACATTCACATTGACTCGAGCTCGTCCTAGTGAGACCTCTTGGTGATGAATGGTGATGGGAAAGATGAGAAGCAATATTATTTGGGCCGCCGTCACGATGATTACTCATGTGCCAGCTTGTGATTTCTGACTAACAAATTCCCGCTCGTCAAATCTCCTTTGCATAAACACCGTGCGTACCGAGAGCGATGGCAAACGTGGCATCAGCCCTGCCAATCTCCTCCATACTCCGGGCATCGAGTACGAGCAGATACGATCTCTCGGCCGTGCCATCCAGAACCACGCATAGGAGCACACCGTCATCCTCTTCCCCGGTGCCCCCCGCCTCGACCGGCCTAGCCACAAATATGGGTTCGCCAGGTGTATGTCCCCGAGGTGGGTTCCACAGAAGGGCACCGTGCGTCTCGAGATCCGTCTTGACGAGCGAGTCCATCATTGTGCTCAGGCCCCGGGTCCCGGCCGAGTAGACGTAGCGATAACGCAGCGTGGCCCGCGCGGGGTTGATGGTGGGAAGCTCGCCGCAGTGGGGGGCGGGGATGGAGAATACCAGGTCAGCCGTGCCGGTGGCAGCCGTGTCCGGTGACGACGGCACGGTGAAGTGGTACCGTCGGATGCTGAGGTGGCACTTGTGCCGGCCGTCTCGATCGATCCAGAACTTGCGAGCGGCATCCTCCCGGTCCAGCAGGACATCGAGATACGTGCCGTGTATCAGGCTGAGGTCGTCATAGCCGGCGAGGTCAAACACGAGACTTGTCCGGCCCTCTCCACCGTGCTCCTCAAAGGAATTGATGGTGTGGAAGAAGAAGCCGGCGGGAGTGGTAAAGCTGGCCACGACACCCTTGCCGCCCTTCCTGTCGATCACGACCCACTTCATCAGCTTGGACGTGTCGAACGGCTCGAGAGCCTCGGCGACGTTGCGCTTGATGAGGATCTTGATCCCGTAGAGGGCGAGGTGGGATGATGGGGCGCATAGGACCACATAGCTGGGCGTGAGGAACAAGCTGTGGATGTACGCGATGGGAAGCAGCGGCGGCGTCACCGTGGCCAGTATGTCCGTCCTGCCCGTCGACACGCTGGTCCTGAAGATGCGGTATGTCGGCCGACGGCCTAGCGAAAGGTTGTAGTTGTACAGGTCACCGTTGACCGGGTCCCTCTGGGGGTGAGCGCACGACAGCGGCCCGGCCAGGTCGGGGTGCAGCTTCGTCGGGGTGGAGTCGTCGTGGAGGTGCTCCATGGTGTCGGCGTCGATCTCCTGCACGTGGGCGCTATCGGTCAGAACAAACAGGTTGCGGGTCCCCGTCCGGTAGCCTGCCGTGCTGCTGCCGTCGGCAACGGACAGCGGACCAGGCACGTTTCTCTCCACCACGACGTTGTTGTTGGGCGGAGGCGTCCTGAAGAGCGTCATCATCTTGGAGAAGATGCCCATGCACGGGTCGGCCCTTTGGGCAAACGTCACGCCCGCACGCCACCCGCGCCGCTTCACGTCGTCGATGAGAGCCTGCGAATTTCTGCGAGATGAGTACCGCACCGACGCGCTGCTGACGCTGCCGTCACCTCCGGAGTCGGAGCCGGGCGATGGTATGATGTCGAACCTGTGCGTGTGGCCGAACCCGTCGAACCAGTGAGACACGTTGTGCGTCTTACCCTCGGACATCTCCAGCCTGCCTTCGCCTGGCCCAGTCCTGAACAGGGTCCCGGCTGCCCATGATGGGATGTGACCCGTTACCACGAGGTCCACGGGTCCACGATGCTCGTCGAGGCCTACGAAGCCAGCCTCGTTAGGCCACGACTTCCACGACTCGGCTTCTATATTGGCCATGCACTGCTCGCTGTCCTCGTCCTGGACGTCGCGGGGACGTTGCCAGGTGCCGGTATCGTTGATGCCCATGATGCTGGTGTGCCGGTGCAGGAGGCAGAAGGGCTGCTGTGAGCGGAAGGAGGATGATATCATGGCCAGATGGTCGGGATGATCCGTCTCTTTTATGTCCACATATTCAAGTATACCGCGTGCATGCCTGTCCTTTGCTTCACCCTCGTGCACGCCCGCTCGCACGCCCGCTCGCTTATCGTGCTTTCAACATCAATCGTCACTCGCTCCGAGGCAACGGTGCAAGCAATGGTGCACCGTGCATCACCTCCGACAGCGGCCCGTCACATTGTCCATTCACGAGATCCGGGGTATCTGATGGCCAGCACGGTGAGTAGCACAGAATGTACCAAGAGTTGGTGCGTGTGCATCCCGAAGAGGACAATGTAAGCGAGTGCGGATGCGAGGTTTCAGAACGAGTCGTTGACGGTTGGGTTGGATGGACGAACCGAGAGGTGGCCTGAGATGGACTTGGAGGGTGCTGACAACCACATGGCCTGTAATTGGTGCAACGAGGTCCCCTGTAAGCCCTGCAAGCCTTGTAAGCCGGTACCCGCTGTACTCGTACTTGTAGTGTCTGATCTACAGGCGGGGGGGGGCATGCACTGTAGATGCTCCTTGAAGATATGTCGTCCAAGTCTCTTCTTCCTCAACCATCTTGTCCATCTTCTTCTTCTTCTTCTTCTTCCGTCGAGTCTTACTACCAGTAGCAGTAACCACCACCAGTACACATGTACGACGCATCAGATCTGAGCTGACACCCTCAACAGGACTACTACTGGTCATTCGGCGTCTCGTCGAGTCATTTCCCGTCTGGAGAAATGGTGCCATGGGCCAGCTCGAGACGAGACCCAACTCGGCAGAATGCATCACGCGACAACACGGATATCCTTTATCTGGTAACAATACGTATCCAGTTGCTTTCTTTTATCTATCCACACCATCGAGACTGGGCGCATGCCCTGCCTTATCAAGGATTTGACTGATCTTCCATAAGGCAGGGCATGCGCCCAGTAGTCCGTCCTCTCTCTCAAACAGGGTTGGTACAGATTCAGAACCGCTTGATCCAGTACAGCATGCTCCCGTGCCAACCCCGATCGAGGGAGAAGGCGGACACCGATATTTGTATTGAATACAAGAAAGAAAGCAGACAGACAGAGAGACAAAAGAAATCATTCCGGCAAAGACTCCAGCAAATCCGGGATTTTTGAAGAGGGGAAGGTCGGATGGGCTCTAACAACATGCCTCTTCGCATTGTACCTCCGATCATAGACCCATCCCTGCTTCTTGCAATTCTTGAAGGGGCACTGCCATCGGTAAGGCTTGGTAGCGCTATGCTGTTCTCTCTCGTGGCGCTTCAGCGAGTCCCTGCTGCCACAGGTCGTTGGACAGCTTTTGCAAGCATGCCGTGTGGGTTGGGCTCTGGAGGAGGAGGCAGAGGAGGGCGAGGGCGAAATCATATTGTTGGAGGAGACTTCGCCGCCATCCGGGGACGAGAAGGAGCCGTTGTCGTTCGAAGAGGATTCGCCGTCGTCCGAGAACGTGACGAGATAGTCTTCCAGAGAAAAAGATGGCTCGGGTTCGGCCGGCGTGTCGTTGCGGTGGGCTGGAGGGGAGATGTTCGTTGCCGGAATCGGGGTCCCTTCCCACGGAAGGGTCTCCTCATCCTGCAGAGGAGAGTAGGGAACGTCGAGGTATGTTGGGGAGGTTGTGAGGGTTGAGCGGCTGTCATGCTGAGCGCCATGAAGGCTCCCCGACGCCGAGTGGACAATTCCCAACTCCTGCGAGCTAGAAGAAAACGAAATGGCAGTCTGGGTATGCGGCTGTCGCAGGTCGTCGGTGGTGACGCCAAACAAGACGCGCGCGTCGTCATCATCACCACCGCCGACACCTGCGTAACAGCTGTACTCAGAGATGCGCCCATGTTCGGAACTTCCCTCGCAGGCTTCAGGAGGATCAAGATCATCCCAGCGGCTCGAGGAATCGTGTTGATCATTGACGGTAACACGTTGCTCGTTGCTTGACAAGGCTCTGGTTCCGCGGGGTCGCCCTGCTCAGTACACAGGGGACCCCCCAGGAGTCGTTTTCAGAAAAGAAAAGGGACTGAGACTGAGGAGGTCAAAGTCCCGAGAGAGTCAAGCGACTGTTTCTCAGGACTAGGGAAATTCGACAGGGTGACTGTGGTTTTGGAAAGAGAAGCAAGCAGTGTGACTGACCATGGGGATCTGTATCGCCCTTATATACGCCACACAAAAACGGCTCATACGAATACGCGACGGTCCATGTCAATCAATGCATGTCATGTCCCTGCTGACCCTTATCCTACTCCGTATAAATTCCAGGTTATATGTATGCAGATCCGGCCAAGGCCATTCCGTGCTTGGTTCTCTGCTAGACGCACCGCCAACAACACAACATGCCAACATCATGTTCAACAGTCCCTCCTCAAAAAGGGCCAATGGAGGGCCGTGCAGGAACCGTGAGGGGGGGAGGGGGNACCGGGGGGGGGGGGGGGGGGGGGGGGGGGGGAGGTGATGCGCGCGCGCGCGCCTACATGCACCAACACCGCTTCCGCGCACCACTCCGCATAGATTCCAAGGCTGTATCGAGCATCTATATCCAATGATTCCTTTCAGTGGATACCTCAGCCTCAAAGGGGACCTATGGTAAGAGGGACATCACCATCACGCACATCACATGGTTGGGACCTAATCAGTGGCCTCTTTTCTTCTTTCCTTCCTACCTCGCTATGCTTACTTTCCGTGCCGCCTGAACACGTCGATGGATCTACATCATCCCATCGGCCATGTCGGCTCTGCCGTCAACCTCGGTATGACTCTCTATGTCTAATAGGCCAACTTTGAGGTTGGTGAGAGGCCGTGCTGTCGGCTGGAGGTCAGTCGAGCAGGCATGCGCATGTATGCGGGCTCTTATAATGTCGTGACTTGTCTTCCTTTCACGTTGCTCCTCTACAATCGTGGCATTGGCCTCCGTACCAGAGTTCGGGGTTCTCGTAATCCCGCGGGGGTTTTCCTGCTATAAGTACAATGCAGGGAATCGTCTCTCCACGGCCATGCGCACATGCATGCTTCCGGCCGTTCAAGATTCGTTGTTTTTCCTCGAAGGACTGTATTGTTCTATAAACAATTCTTTCCCGAAAAAAGCCCCGACTTCAAGTCAGCGAAGATGGGCGTCGCCATGGAACCCCGTCTCTTATCAAACCCGGAGATGCTGGAGAAGATTGACAAGCTCCGCGATCTGAACATCGGCCAGCATATTGCTCTTCCTCAGGTTAGTTGATGCGACTCCCCCTTCTGCTATCAATTCTTCATATAGCACTTCGTGTCGGGTAGTCACACCTTCCAAGTGGGTGGGCAGTATCGGATTAGGACAAGAGGGGAAGGGAGGACGAGAAAAAGAAGAGAGAGGTGGCAATTTGGATTCTCTTTTCTTTTCCTCTCCTCTGCTTGTCATACCCCCCCACCCTCCACCCCCATATTCTTCGTCTCTTGATCTCTCCTCAAAACGATCCCTCCCTTCTTCCACCTGCTCACGCTCGCATAGCTCGTCGTCGTCGGAGATCAGAGCTCGGGAAAGTCGTCGCTTCTTGAGAGCTTGAGCGGTATCCCGTTTCCCAAAGACGGCACCCTTTGCACTCGCCACGCCACCCAGATAACCTTCCGACGAAACGACGATGTTTTCGTCAAGATATCCATCAACGCTGGACCGCATGCTTCGGAGGAACATAAGAAGACTGTTGAGGGGCATCGTCTGAAAATGGATTCCGCCGTGGAGTTCCGCGGCCAATTTGTCGACATCCTGACCAAGGTGAGTTCCCTCTCGCTGGCTCAGATGCTTCAGAATCGGAATCCCTCCTGTTCTCGATATAAGTGAACGTGACTCTTGAACGGGAACGCTGACAGCGGCTGCTGATAGGCCAACGAGAAGATGGGTTTGCGTAAGACCGTCAGTGCGGGTCGTGGTGCCATCTTCAGTGAGGATGTCCTCAAGATCGAAGTCTATGGACCGACCGAAGATTACCTGACCATCATCGACGTCCCCGGAATCTTCCGCACAAACATGTACGGAACTACAAAAGAGGACATAGTCATGGTGAGGGAGCTCGTCAAGGACTATATCAAGGACGACCGCACCATCATCCTGGCTGTCCTCCCCAGCAACGTCGACATAGCTACACAGGAGATTTTGGAGCTCGCGGAAGAGTACGACCCAGAGGGCGTGCGCACTCTGGGAGTCCTCACAAAGCCTGATCTCGTGATCGAACCGCGATCGCAGGCGTCCCTCTGCGATCTAGTCAATGGGAAGAGACGGCACCTAACTCTCGGCTACTACCTCGTGAAGAACCGTGGACCCGACGACGGACCCGTCGAGCCGGAAGAGCTTGACAGGTTCTTTGCAAGGAACCCTTGGAGGAGGCTCCCGGGTGAACGGCTGGGTATCCGGGCTCTCAAGGCGCAGCTTGAGGCCTTGCTGATCGACATATGCGGTCGCGAGTTTCCTCGCCTAGTCCAGGATCTCAGCAGGTCAATCACAGAATGCAAAAGAGAGCTGCAAGGTCTGGGACGGCCTCGGCAAGACGAGAATGAGCAACGGATCTTCCTCGGTAACGTTGCAGGAGCTTTTCAGGATTGCGTTCGGTCGTCATTGGCCGCGGACTACACTGCAATAGACGCACTCGGCGAGACGGAACTTCGGCTCATCACCAACGTCATGAACATCACAGACGTCTTCGCCACCGACTTTCACGAGAAAGCGCACTCAAACAACTTCGACGAAGAACGTGGACACGTAGGAAAGACTGAGTCGGAAGACGACCTGCGGGAGTCTCAAAAAAGCTCTTCCGAGGCCATGGTGAAGCAGATGCGAAATCTCCTGGAATCTGTTCATATAGACGACGCTACAGATGGGGAAAAGGCCGAGCTCGAGGATATCCTTGCTATTCCCGACAAGGACCTGGAGTCGAAGGGGGGCGTCTCCTCGTGGATCAGACAGCATTATCTGAACATCAGAGGACTGGAGCTCGGCACGTTCAACGCCAACTTTGTCTCGGTGGCCTTTGCCCAACAGTCAAGCAAGTGGCCTCACATGAGCAAGGTCTATATGAGCAGAGTCATACTGTCACTGCATCGCTTCATAGCCAGCGCGCTGCGGCTAGTTCTTCCCGACGAGACGGCTCGGAACAAGGTATGGTCCTCGATCCTGGAAAGCCTCGTGGACTGCTACCGGAAGGCAATCAGGCAAGCAGACCTGCTGGTCAACATCGAGCGCCAGGGGATTCCCTACACAGCCAACAAGAAGTTCACCAAGGAAATCAACGAGGCCAGATCTAAAAGGATGCTCAGGCAGGTCTTCCCCAAAGCCAGAAAGGACAAGGCGCAGTACGGAGAGGTTCAGTACACCGTCACTCTCGAGGACATGGACAGCATGCACTCGGAGGAACAGTCAAACATGGGATATTCCCTACAGGAGGTCCATGACATACTCCAGGCGTACTACCGGATCGCCATGGAGCGTTTCATAGACAACATCTTCCAGATTGCCGTCAACCATCAGTTGCTCCATGGGCCTGACAGTCCCCTCAGGGTCTTTGACCAGAACTGGGTCATGAGCCTGAGGCCTGCTCAACTTGAGCAGATTGCAGGGGAGAGCAAGGCTTCCAAGAGGACACGTGCGAAGCTCAACAAGAAGATAGAAGATTTGTCGACTGGTCGGAAGGTACTGGAACAATACTGACCAGTGTTCGACGCTCCTGTCGCCCAGGCGATGTCGGGTTAGGTGCAATGTAATCGGGTCGGGGGCGATGGAGGAAAGATGGTTGATTGATTGTCGACGCTCAGGAGAATCGCATCATCTGCGTCTAGAGAGTTCTCGTTCTGAGCTGTGACCATTCCATGTGAATATGGCTTTGTCTGTTGCAGTCTTGACATGACGCGCCCCGATGGAGAGCATGGTGCCATGGTGCGATGTCGCATACGTACACCTGTGTAGGTACGATACCGATTACCCTGCCCGACCTTGCCGCCTATCTCGCGGAAATCCCCGGGTTGCTAGACACCTGGCAACTCAATTCCCGGGCCGTAGCTTGTCCGTGGCATGGCCAACTGGTCCGTATAGGCAGCAGGTATACCTTCGAATCGTGATGGGAGGTCATCATTCCTATCACGGCAGCTACCAGCCTTCTTGGCCCACAAGTGCCATATCGAGGTGTCCGGCGTATGACTCGGGCGTCTCGAGTACGCGACCAGCGGGGGGTGGTGTTGGTGTTTGAAGAAAAGAATAGAAGAAGAAAAGGGCAGCGGCCCATCCAGATATCGGGTTACCGCGTGCTCGGCAATAGAGCCTGAAACCGCACAGCAGTGATCAGTTCACGGAGTCGTGAGTCATCAGAGTCCACGCTCCCGCTGGTGAGGAAACACCCTGGCATCGGCCAAGAAGTCGTCGATAGTCCTCTTCCTGACCTCATTGAGGGGTTTCACATCCTCATCATCGTCCCGATCCCTACCTCGACCAGATGAATCGGGCAGGCCGCCGACGCGGCCCGTCACACGCACCAGCAGCATGCGCATCTTCTCCAACTCCTTCTCGACCTGGCCGTTGCGCGTGACGATATTCTCCTGGACCCCCGCACCGGCCTCGCCCGTCTTCAGGGGGGCCACGGTGTCACGCATACGTCTCAGGCGGTCGACGCGCCGTCGTAGGTCTCTGCGCTGATGGTTGAGCGACGCTAGCCTTTCCACCGTCTCTGCGTAGCGCTGCGCTTCTTCCGGATGCTGGTCGATTGCTCGGTCGGAGAGCCATGTTCTCGGCAGCGCATCTATGGCATCCTGATCGACTGCAGTATACTCCTGTCAGCAGGCGAGGGGGTTATCGGCAAGGTAGAAGAGGAGAAGAGCGTACCCAAGTCGATCTCCTTGCTAATGCCATCGGCATCGGCATCCAGCCCGCGTAGTCGACGCTCCGCCTCGCTCGAGTAGCTGTCGCTTATCTGCTCGGCGAGTGCACGGTTGGCCTGAGGGGCAAAGACGCGACGGCAGTGGTCTTGTATCAGACCCTCGAGGACGGAGGAGACGGTGTCGAGCTGTCGTGGGTCGAGGGCCGATTCGGAGCGGGCGTTGGCGGCGACGAAGGCTGCCGAAGGCGTGACCGGCGTGGCCAGGCGGAGGGTCTGGCTTGTGATGAAGCGCTCTTTTAGCTGGGTGATCGTCGGTTGGGACGACATTGTTATAGATGTGTCGGGTGATGAGGTCTTGAGAGGGAGGAGGGGATGTCAAAGAGACGCGTGTGTCTTGACGCGTTTGAGGATGGAGCGTTTGAAGCTGTGACGATGGTGTGTGGGGATTTTGCGTGAGAGGGGAACTTGGCACCAGTGGATACTGCGTTGGGAAGTGTTGGGGTGTGAATTCTGAATCGGCACTCGTGCATGCGATGACGGCCAGGAGACTTCCGGCGTAAATGGACCGACCTGCACCCATCCCAACCTGATAGTTGCAGTGGAGAGCAACGCAGGGCATAACCTTTCTTCCTCTTCCAATGCGACCCCCGCGATGTATGCGTGTTATGCTGGGGAGGGGGCGGTCACGTGTGCCTCATGACCACCTCTATCACTACACCACTCGGCAGACGCGCAATGATACAGAGAATAGGACAGTGATATAGGACTGGGATGGAAGTAAGAGACGGGACCGACAGAAACATACGACGACAAATTCACCAATAACACGCTCTGGATTCTACCCTGGTCCCCATGTTTCCCCGCACGCGCGCGTGATGTCTTTACGCGGAACCGACTTGGAAGGCTGGAGTAAACGGACCCGATGTACATTCAGGGAACAAGCGGGTGGGGGGGGGGGGGGGGGGGGGAGAGGTGTTCCCCGGACACGGGTCCGATGATGTGGAGGTGCCCTTTTCCTCGGCTGAGCATAAATACAGGAGTTGACGTAGGTGGCTCCTGTTTCGTGGTTTTTCTATCTCACTCTGCAGCCCGTTCATCTATATTCTCTTCTTCTTCTTCCGCTATCCAACCATGCCTCTGCCGAGGACGGCTATTGTGACGGGGAGTGCCCGCGGCATGTGAGTTCCAACACATAGACGAGATGCTCATCTTCTCGGGCTGATGATGATTGATCGCAGTGGGAAGGCGATCGCCCATAGACTCGCCTCAGATGGCTTCAAGGTCACCATCTCCGACCTCCCCTCGATGAAGGCCGAGGCCGAAGCAACGGCATCGCAGATCGCCGAGGCCACCGGCTCAGAGACCCATGTCGCCCTGGGCGACGTCTCCAGGCGCAGCGACGTCCAGGACGTTGTCGACTCGCACGTCAGCAGCCTGGGTCCGCTGTACGCCATGGTGGCGAACGCCGGCATATGCCAGGTCAATCCGGCCGTGGAGGTGGGGGAGGAAGAGTTCCGCAGGACGTTTGACGTCAATGTCGGCGGCGTCTTCAACTCGTACCAGGTTGCCGGGAAGCAGATGATACAGCAGGGTACGGAGGGGAGGCTAATCGGGTGTGCGAGGTACGTATCGTGTGTATTGATATCCATCATCCCATCAGATGCCCCGTACCCATGTTTTCGAGCTCCAACCCTCCAACCCCCTGTTGAAGCTGGACACGCAGACGGATGGGGATGGAAAAAAGAAGAAGAAGAAAGACTATGCTAACAAGCCAACAGCATTGTGGGGTTCAAGCCCTTCCCCCTGCTCACCCCCTACAGCGCCAGCAAGTTTGCCGTCCGCGGCCTGACGCAGGGCATGGCCATGGAGATGGCGCCGCATGGCATCCGCGTCAATTGCTTCTGTCCGGGCATCCATGCAACGGCCATGTGGGACTATATTGACCATCATCTCGGCCGCCTCAATTCACTGCCCAAGGGCGGCACCATCCAGAAATTTACTGATGAATATATTGCCCTCAAGAGGACGGGCCAGCCCGAGGATGTGGCTAAGCTGGTGAGCTTCTTGGCCAGTGATGATTCAGAGTATATCACGGGGCAGAGCATCAATGTTGACGGGGGCGTATTCTTTACGTAGATTGCAGTGGATGATGTTTCCATCTCCACCAGTTCCCCCCTCTTCCCACAAGCTTCAGATGACATTGAAGATGACAAGATTGAACTCATGGGGGGGCTCGACATGTTAGTGATGTCTTCGGAGATAAGCACCATTTTATCTTATCTAGATTGCCATTATCGATACACTTATCGCCACTCTCCACTCTCTGATTCTCCCGCTTCAGCCTCGAGCTCGAATTCTTTCATGCAAAACGTCACCTTGGATGGCTCAGGCGACGGCTGCAAATCCGCGGGTAGTCGACCGTATATCATTACTATGCACTGACGTTGAGCTGCGATTCTACTCCGTCATAGGTGTGTCACCAAATACATATACAATGGCAAAATCAAAGGCCTCCAAGCGCAAGAGGGTCGCCCAGACCGAACAACCCCGCAAAATACCAAAGAACGCCCTCTCCAGCCCGCCTCCCGATGGCAGCGCCTCCGACACGCCCGTCGAGCCCAAGAACCTGGGGACCGTCGTACCGGACGAGGAGCTGGAGATAACCATCGACACCCTCAAGACGCTGTCTCAGTACCCGAGCCTGATCAAGACGAGGCAGTGCAGGGATGTACGGGCAGCCGTGTACGACTTCCGCCAGTCGTGCACGACGGGCACCAACTCCGTCGACGGCGGCGCGGGGACGAACCTGACGGGCCGGATAACGGGGGCCCTGGCCGACGGCAAGTTCACGGACGCGCGCATCCTCCTGTCCGAGATGAGGATACGCGGCGAGGAGCCGAAGCTGGGCGCGCTGTGCAGGTGGGTGCGCGATCTCGACTTCATCAGCGGGCTGTCGACGCAGCACCGGGTCACGCAGGACGGGGAGCTCATCTCCGTGCTAGACTCGGTGCTGCGTGTCAGCTGCCCGATCGACGCCAACCCGACCGCAGTCGTCAACCCGTCGTCGCCCATCGCGCCCCAGCCCATCTGGGACCTGGGACCCGGGCCCGGCGTGGCGCGCGAGCAGGTCTACGCTTCCGTCCTGGACAAGACCATCTTGGACGCCGCGCCTGCCTCTCTCCGCGACTCTCTGCGCGTCGTCGAGAGGACAGAAGGAGGCGACCGCAGGCCCCCCAACCAGTACCCCGCCATCGTCTACACGACGACGCCCGACGCTGTCACGCTCGCTGCCGAACCCCCCTCCTCTACGTTCCACGAGCATCCGCACGTGCCAGGTCTCGGCCTGGCCAAGAACGTCCTCACCCACGACGAGTGCAGGGCCATCATCGCCGCCGGCGAGTCGGTCGAGTTCATCCCGGACTCGCCCCTACGCCAGGACGGGGAGACGTCCATCCTCGCCCACAACTTCTACTGGGTAGTCGACACGGCCTTCCACGACAAGCTCTGGTCGCGCGTGTCGTCGCTGGTCCCCGGCGAGGTCGGTGGCCGTCTCGCACGCGGGCTGAACCGCCGCTTCCGCGTCTACCGCTACGTCCCCGGCGCCGAGTACAGGTGCCACATTGACGGTGCCTGGCCGCCGTCGGGTATCCGTCCGGATGGCGCGTACGTGTACGACGACTCCCCCGCCGACAGGAAGCAGAGCTCTCTCTTCACCTTCCTCATCTACCTCAACGACGAGTTTGAAGGTGGTGAGACGACCTTCTTCCTCCCCGGTGTGAGAGAGGGTTCCTTGAACGCCTACCCTGTGAGGCCTGTCATGGGGAGCGTCGCCGTCTTCCCTCACGGCGACTCGAAGGGTGCGCTTCTACACGAGGGGACGGGAGTGCGCAAGGGGGCAAAGTACGTTATCAGGACCGATGTCGAGTATGATGTCGAGCCTTCTATTCGAGAGTCTTGACAGTCTTGTATGGACATTGATGAGTAGTGAGTGGCGTATAGAATTGATTGACGAAGCGATGACCTTTGTATATATATATATATATATATTTCTTCTCCTAGGACAATGGAGATGGGAAAACAAAAGCACCCGGTTACTACTACTACCTCTACCGATATCTGGCCGTCTCCAACGCACCACAGCTATCTAGTACCCGTGGGATATATCACCACAGGTAATGTGCAGATACGAGGTCCCGAGGACTCCGTACTCGAATGCATGCGCTCCCCCTCCAGTTGAAGCCGCGGTTCGCTACTACGTCTCCGGCCCCGGCCGATGAAATGCTGATCATGTCCAGGATAGGCATCGCAGAGAGGGTAAAGGCACGAGGCCATAGGATCAATTCTGATTAATGCTATTACATCGCATACAATATCAGCACACGTACCGCATATACCACACGTAAATATTAGTCCAGAGGGGCAATACACTCCGGTGACGATTATGACAACCATAGACGCCTGCTTGATGCATCGTGGTACAGGGAATCATGAAGGGCAAGAGAGTGATGTCTCTCTACGAGGTGGGGAAACTCGAGAGGAGGCAAGGTGATAACGACGTGATGAATGCCAATCATCTGGGACTCGTGGGTGCAAAGGCCAAGAGCCGCCAAGAGTCTCGAGGTGGGACGCTAACGAATACCCCGGCGGCGCAGGGGGGGGGACAATCGAGGGGCCATGGCAGTTGATCTCAAAGGTTGTGATGACGATGTAGGAATGTCACTTTGCGAGGAGAATGACTTCCTCAGATGTGCCGGGCTCGAGTGCGGTCGGTATGAGAGGGAAGCCTATCACGAAGAGCGAGATCGGGTAGACTTCCCTACAGTCAAGGGGCAACGCGGACTTATCTGACAAAGATCGATAATCAACAGTACAACAGACCGAGTGCCGTCGCACTCCTCTCCCTGCGCGTCAACACACCTTCCCCTTTGATCCTTCACGGCGGGTCCTTCTGTGCTTCGTATAACACACTAAATTGAATCTATCGACCAACCCTCCCCCCCCCCCCCCCCGGGATCCGTAGACGACGAGAGCACATGCTTGCGATAAGCTCATCAGATGGTTCTCAGTGAGAGAGAGATCTGAACTCGATGTAAATACTCTACATGAGATATATAGCCTCCTTGTATAAATATCACAAGTCTGTCCCATTCTACGCAGAAAGACTCACCCTCGTACCCATTCCGTTCATTCATTCACCCACTCCCCTCTCCCCTTGACAACCTCCCTCTCTTCTCCACAATGAAGCTCTCCATTCCCTCCATCGTCCTGGTCCTCTCGGCCATCGTCTCCGCCGCTCCGGCCGAGATCCAGCCCCGCGCCGCTGCCACCTGCGGTAGCAACTCGTACACGGCCGCCCAGGTGAACGAGGCTTCCGTGGCTGCATGCAACCACTTCAAGGCTGGCACCACGGCCGGTAGCTCGACCTACCCTCACCGTTACAACAACTACGAGGGCTTCAGCTTTGGTGGCGCCAGCGGGCCGTTCCAGGAGTTTCCCATCCTGACCAGCGGTGTCTACACTGGAGGTGAGCACCCCCTCCTCAGGCCTCTAACCATCAGGAACTCCTGCCTTGCTTCCGTGGTATGGTATGTGGGATCGATTGACTGTGTTGACCATGCTGAGTATCGTAGGCTCCCCTGGTGCTGACCGCGTCATCATCACCGAGAGCGGTTGCAAGCAGGCTGGTACCATTACCCACACTGGTGCTAGCGGTAACAACTTTGTGGCTTGCTCGGGTACTTCTTGAAAGGAAGATGGGGGCCGGGGGGGGGGGGGGGGGAGGTTCAACAAGGGGCGAGAATGAAGATTGTTGCTCGTTTTTTTTTTCTCTTTTTTTTTTCTTTTTTTTCTTTTTTGGCGTCACGATTATATCTGTTGAGTGCCGGCGGCCACTTGACTTGGTCCGTCTTCTGCTCATTGTTCGATGAAATGGATCTGAAACTGCCGAGTGAATCAATCATTCAGCGATAAGTCTTGATGCTAGAACAAGAATGTCTCGAACAAGAATGTCCCGGGGGACAGTTCTCACTTTTACTTTTCGCGCTCTTGTCAGATATCGATACACCAGACAGTTGAAGTCCCAAGCCATTGCCCACGGTGAGATGCTCTCATCCCCAGAGAGCTAGAAAGTCATGCTCCAGCTCCAGCCTCTCCGCCATCGAGAAGAAACATCTACGGAAACGAACAGACGGGAAGGATCTCGACCGAATTCGGAATCGGCAACTTTGATCGACACTGACATGCTCTATTGCATATCAGGCGAACCTCCTCCCCCGCACTTCGGGAGCTTCTGCCGTTGTGCGGGGATCCTCTTGAAAGCTCGTCCCTCGAGCCGGGCCACCTGTTCCGTTTAGACTTCTCCTCTACATCTAGCCAATGTATGTCGGTGCATATGTCATAGTTGACAGGAGAGACGGGCGCAGGAATGGGAGCGGGGTGGTCAGTCACACGGGAACGATATTATCCTCGTCGGGGTGCGTCAGCCGCGGTCTTCAAGCAAACCGTATGCCTTGAGAGGAGGTAGATCTGGCAGTTTGGTCTACATATAATATATATTATAATATATATATATATATATACATGTATGTACGTCCCGGTTGTGAACTGTCCGTTTATAGATTTGGCCCTCCATAATTTCTCCAGTGAATAAAGTCAAGAGTCGTGAAGATCTGCTGTCCGCTATGACTATCCAACTTGCATATGCCGTCGTCGCCTTGATCCTCTACCTCCTCGTCCAATACTTGTATGCCACCGATGTCCCAAAGATAAAGAATCTACCCGAGATCCCCGGCCTGCCCATCTTTGGAAACCTCGTCCAACTCGGCACCGACCACGCACGTGTGGCTCAGAAATGGGCAGCTAAATATGGCCCCGTTTTCCAGACACGTCTAGGAAACAAGGCGAGTCGTTCCTGACTCCGCAAAGAATGAAACACATATACACGAGAGATGACAGCCGTGATAACTTCCCAAGTACTCATACGCAGCGCGTCATCTTTGTCAACTCCTACGAAGCAGTCCGATACTTTTGGATCACCCACCAATCCTCCCTCATCTCCCGACCAACCTTCCACACCTTCCACGACGTCGTCTCGTCCTCCCAGGGCTTCACCATAGGCACCTCGCCGTGGGATCCGTCGTGCAAGAATCGCCGCAAGGCTGCCGCCACAGCCCTGAACCGTCCCTCGGTCCAGTCGTACATGCCCGTTCTCGATCTCGAATCTACGGTCAGCATCAGGGAGCTGCTCGATAACTCGCAAGGCGGAACGAACGACCTCGATCCTTCGCCGTACTTTGCGCGGTTCGCACTCAACACCTCCCTCACGCTCAACTATGGATGCCGCATCCACGGCGACGTCAACAGCGAGACGCTCCGCGAGATCACATACGTCGAACGCGGCATCTCCAACTTCAGATCTACCAGCAACAACTGGCAGGACTATGTACCGCTGCTGCGGCTGGGCGCCGGGAAGAACTCGTCGGCCGAGGAGTTCCGCCTCAGGAGGGACAGGTACCTCACTGATCTGCTCAATGGGCTGAAGGAGAGCATCGCCAACGGGACTGATAAGCCTTGCATCACGGGGAACATTCTCAAGGATCCCGATGCGAAGTTGAACGACGGTAGGCTGTATCGAGGGAGGAAGCGAGGATGAGTGGCTGATTCTTCCCACAGCCGAGATCAAATCCATCTGCCTGACAATGGTATCTGCCGGCCTGGACACCGTACCCGGAAACCTGGTCATGGGCCTCGCATACCTGTCCACCAAGGAAGGTCAGGAGGTTCAAGCCAGGGCCCTACGGGAGATAAACGACGTGTACCCCGACGGCGACGCCTGGGAGAGATGCCTGGAGGAGGAAAAGGTCCCGTACGTGACTGCGTTCGTCAAGGAGACTCTACGATACTGGACCGTCATCCCCATCTGCCTCCCTCGAGCCAATATCAGGGACATTCCGTACGGCGACGCCGTCATTCCCGCCGGGACAACCTTCCTCATGGTATCTTTCACCCACGCATATGAACGCTGGAGAGGGAGAGAGACAGATATTGCTAACGTGGCGCTATCCAGAACGCCTACGCGGCAGACCACGACGATGAGCGATTCAGAGACCCTCACAGGATGATACCCGAAAGGTTCCTCAACGACACCGAGACGGGCACGCCTCATTACAGCTACGGCGCTGGCTCGAGGATGTGTGCGGGATCCCATCTCGCCAACCGAGAGCTCTTCACGGCCTTTGTGCGGCTCATCACGGCGTTTCATATCCTCCCCGCCCGGGACCCAGCGGACGCCCCCATCATGGATCCCATCGAATGTAGCGCCAACCCGACCTCTCTGACGACGGACCCGAAGCCATTCAAGATTGGACTGCGCGCCCGAGACGAGACGCTCTTGCGAAGGTGGATTTGGGACTCTGAGGAGCGGACGAGGGATTTGTAGATGCGAAGGAGGTCAGTCGAGAGAGACCTCTGACATCAGGAACTTTCGTCACATCGCTAAGACAGCTAGCTACTCGCTGATTGCGCGATGGGAGATAATCTGGCCGTGATGCAATATACGCAGTTCGCCCATGATCCGTACCCTTCGAGTACAGGAATGAAGGATGGAAAGAGAAGGGGAAAAGAAGGCGCCTAGCCCCAGCGATAAACATATGATATATATCCTCCTCTTAGCCGAGAATGAATGAAGACCAAGGATCCTATAACATTCCAGGTGCATCATGTTTCCGATTCAACCGAACACCCGAAAACCCGATGGAAAGATCTAAGAGTGTCATTCTTTTTGAGCCGACCGGGAAAGTAAAGGACAACACTCCAAAGGCATCATATTTTCTAGCGAGAAGAAAGAGCAAATCAACACACAAAGACAGAAAGGGTGCACCAGCTGGAGCGCCTAGATCCGGGCACGGCACGAGGCCGCAGAGGCAGAGCGCCCTGGATATCGAAGAGGAGCCCACCATCGCCGTCGACCTCGGTCTTGATATCGGTATCGGTCCAACCCCCACGGAGGGCGGGGCCGGAGATCGACTTCCTTGCCCTGAACCCCGCACGCAGATGGTCAGCCGGTGTACGTGCATGTTGAATCGTCAGCAGCGTTGGACAGAGAGGGACTGTCACGAGTACGTATGGACGATGACATGGATCTACCTGCCACCACGGGCGACGCAAAAGTAGGCGGACGAGACGCCAGGAAGTTCGGATAGCGGCTACAAGTATCTGTACATGTATGTGATATTGCTCGGTGATGAAAGATGGGCAAGACCATCCAGCCAACGCTACCAGGTGCCGGGCAGTCATCCCGTCATCACGGTCAGGGGAGTGTATACACGGCAGCTGCTTCTCCACAGGCCCTAGAAGACGACGGTCGGGTTCGGGGCTTGAAAAGACCTCGTCGGTGGTTGCTATTCATCCGAGAGCCATAGGAGGACCATCATGTCCGGCACAGCAAGTTCGTACCATGCATCATCAGCAACCGCCAAAATCGCCGCAGTACAGATCTATCACACATGATGGATCCGTGGCTCGATGGCGGTCAACCGACTCCTTCAAGTCATCCATCAACACTTCCGGTCCGCAGGCCACGACCAAAGCCCGCCTGGGGCGAGCACCGTCATCTGCCAGCCTGCCCAGGAGGTCATGCATGTTGATCCTCCCAAAGACCACAGATTCCGTGCACGATGTAAGCTCCCCAGAGGGCGGCTGCTCGATGGCCAGTTCTGCTGCCGGGCCACCCATCTGGGGAGAAGTATGCGGACACGGTCGGGACGTGCCTCCCGCACCCTGGACGGGCTGTGCGCCGTGGTCGCTGGGTGCCGGTACCGGTCCAGCCTCGCGCGTGACGTGCAGACTTATGCTGGTCACGGTCGCGAGATTTTGGAGATTATCGACATGCTGGCGATACCAGGACAGATGTGCTGAAGCGTACAAGGTCAGCACTGCGACGGACATGGCACTGATCCGGATGACGGCCTACCGTGTTGCTGGAAGGACAGGGCACAGCTGATCTTGCTAAATCCCATGAACCGGGGCCGGCTCAGGATCCGGTTGACGAAGCCAAAGACAAAGGAAGCACCGCTTCCCCCGGATACGAGGACCAGCTCGTCGTATCCGGAAACGTCTGGAGACGACCCGTACGATAGGCCGGTGAATGCCCATAGGCGGGCCCCTGGGTGCTCCCGGGCCAGGTCACCGAGTTTCCTGGTGAAGCCTCGGTGGCTCTTGATGACGAGCTCCAGCCCCTGCGCTCCGTTGTCGACGATGGTCATCGGGTGGCTGTGAAAGAGCGATATGCGCGGTATCCACAGGAAGCAATGGGATCCCGGAACGGCACTGCACAGGAAGGACCTCTTGAGGATCACCTGCGTCCCTCCGCCGGGAAGTGGATGGCAGGTAGCTTGTGTTGTGAAGATGCCGCACAACGCCCCCGCCGACCGGATGGCTCTGTCGGCCAGCCACAGACCGAAGGTCACCATCATGACCTGGGGCAGCTTCTTGAACCAGAGGGGCCTGTGGACGACGGCGAGAGCGACGGCAGCCACAAAGCCAAGGACGTGGCTGACGTAGAACATGTCGTAGTTTCGATGTCTAAAGAGGCCCATCAGGAGGACCAGCATGGAGATGCCTGCCAGGATGGCAGCCATGTCCCCCACCGAGGCAAACTTTTCCAAGCGCCCAGTCTCGGTCAGCGAGGCCGTGTAGAATCCGGCGTGGCTGACGACGAAGAAGATTGCCACTATGCCCGTCAATCGGTGGAACACGTTCAGCTCGACATGAGACGCGGGCACGACGAGCGATAACGGCGTATTTCTGAGAGCGAAGAAGACGCACAGCGTCATGTTGGCAGCCGTCAACCTTTTAATTTTGTTTTCAAAAAAAGAAGGGTTTACCACCGCATAGCGTTAGCCGAGTCATGCGTACGATGATATCAGAGCCGTGGAGGTTGAAAACATACCATCCGCATCGGGAGCCGATATAGTTGAGACGGGTCGAACTGAGGAAGTTGGATGCGATTGCGGCATTTCCGGCAAGGTATACCGTGGTCAGGACGACGAGTCCGACTGACGGCCTACGAGCCCACAGCCACGGCGTGCGCCTCTCTAACCTCCTACGAGACCTTCTGAGTCTGACGAAGCATTGACTGCCATGCGTTCCATACGAGATATACTCACCTCCGAAGCCATCGACCGGATGCCGACCCGGAGGCTTGGTACCTAGACACGCAGACGGAGACCACGATCAGACCGGCGAGGAAGGCGGCATATATCTTCAGCGCGTGCTCGTTGTCCGACTGCTTCTGCGTTGCGCGTTTGTCGATGGCCATTCCACGTAGCGGTGTAATCGCGCGACGAGAGAGTTGTATGAGCGATTGAAAAGACGAGATTGATTCTCTCCCCTCTGCGAGAGAGACCGTCTTATCCCAATTCTGCCGCGCGTTCGGACCCTGCAACAGCGGAAACCGGGTCCTCTAGGGCACGAACGGAAATGTGGCTTATTAGTTAGTTGTACGTCTACTCCGTACGGCATGTTGCGTAATGGGCCCCGTTATCAGATCCTTTTTTTTATTCATTTTAATTCCCGATGTTCCTTATCAATCAGTTAGGCCGGATCCATTGTTAGCTGGGGCGGTGGGGTTAGAACAGAGACTGATACCTGTACGTTTTCCCTCTCCGAAGTACGAGTACTCTTGATCACAAGTTAGATAGAGGGAAAGACTCTGAGGCGGTTCTGTTATCTTGGCAGTTCATTCGTCAGGAGGCCTTTGGGCAACAATACGTATGATGGCCGTATCTGCAGACCTCTATGGCGCTTGGGAGCTTGGGAGCTTGGTGGTGCCCAAGCTGCTGAGAGAGGTATGCGGGTTAGCACATCGGACTGACGGTCAACAGTCACGATAATGGCTGCTTCGATGCAGGGCGTTACGATCGGGCGCGGCTGTCGCTTCGGGGGTCTTCCACCCCAGTATCCGGTTGTCACCTCAAGGGTCAGTCCTCAGCGGTATTGTGTGCACGACCCCTGCTTGCCTCTTCGACACTGTGGCCTTCGATTGATCAGATAAGATCGACCTGGCATCACGTCTCCCTCTAACCAAGTGGGTCGGGAAGCAACGGGAGGGATTCGTCTCCGCAGCTATATTACGTGCCAAGCTTGCCGTGTTGACCGAATAGGTCCCCGACTTCTGTCCTGGGCTCTTCCTGCATTGTACAGATGAATCGCTCCATAACTTGTGAAGCGTAGTCGTTCTGTTAACCGCTAGGTCCTCCCCTCGTCGGCTGAGTCGCCTCTGCTGCACATACGACTCCGCGCTCGTATCGAAGGCGGATGTGACCTTGAACATATGGTTGAAGAATGGCATCAATCCTCGATTCTGCTAAGACGTAAGTCCAGTGTGGTAATCAGACGGTACGCCACGTACCAGACATATCCGTGGCATCCGGGAGGCTGTCGGTGGTGGGCGTGTGTGCCAGGTAGAGAAGAGGCATACATGTACACATACATGGTCCCGCTGATGAAGACCATTCTCTGTTATTGCCATGCTTCTAACCTCGTGTTAGACTTCCTCTCCGTCCTCTACCTCATACTGACAATATAGCGCTAAGGTAGAACTGACGTCCAGGACAGACAGTATTAAGCAGCAACCGGAAGAATGAGTGAGATGCGTGCGAATGCACAATCATCATTGCCAGATCAGGCAGTTAGTGGGGGGACTTCCCATGGAGGTGGCGGGGAAGTGAACAGACAATTAGTTGCTGGCATCTAAAGTCCTCACAATTTGGGGGGGGGGGGGAGAGAACATATCAACTCATCAACGATCATCTCTCTGAGCGAGCTGCAAGTCTTCAAGTTAGCATAGACAGGAGGAGCAAGTCAGGATACTCGCTCCTTGATCGACATCATCCAAGTTGCATAGAGTGTCCGCAATGGCGTTTGAATCTCGCGTAGCCATCATCACGGGCGGCATCGGTACGTCTCTCCGAGGCGGGGTGATTCACCCGCATGCACCACGCACGACTGACTCCGCGATACATCAGGTGGCATCGGGAGCGCGGTGGGCAAGGCGTTCCGGGAGCAAGGTGCCAAGGTCGCGCTGCTATACGCACCCTCCGAGGAGGGCAACGTTCAGGCCGTCCTGGACGACGTCTTCGGCGGCAAGGCCGACGGCGTGGCGACGTACGCATGCGATATCACCAAGCCCCAGTCCGTCGAGGATGCGTTCGCAGCCGTCGCGGCGGACAACGTCGGCTTCCCCAGCTTCCTCGTCAACAGCGCCGGGTACGTCAACCTCACGCCTCTGGAGGAGACCCCGGCCGAGGACAGCCTGCTGCACTACCTCGTCAACCTGTACGGTCCGACGCTGACGAGCCAGGCCTTTGCGCGCCTGTACTTCAAGGCCAAGGAGGCTCAGCCTGACGGTCCGGGGGCCAGGATAGTCAACATCGCCAGCCAGGCCGCCCACGTCGCCCTCGACAAGCACGCCGCCTACTGCGCGTCCAAGGCCGGCCTCATCGGGCTCACCAGGTGTCAGGCCAGCGAGTGGGGCTCGCGCGGCATCACCGCCAACACCATCAGCCCCGGTCCTGTGTGGACGGCCCTGGGGAAGAAGGCGTGGGGTGATGACAAGATACGGGAAGAGTCAGTGTTCTTCTCCGGATTTCCTTTTCCACACGGCATTTCCTCCCCATCCATTCTGACCTCCACCGAATCTCGATCCAAGAAGACTGACAAGAGCCACTCACCTATCTCAGATATCAAAAGGCAGTGCCTACCGGCCAGTTTGCCGAGCCGGAAGAGGTTGCCAACATTGTCTTGTTTCTCTGCCAGGACTCATCCAAGAATATAACCGGCCAAGATGTCCGGATCGACGGCGGCTACACTGCGCGGTGAAGTCATCAGATTGTCTTCCTAGAATGACCGACACCTTGTTTCTGAGCTTCATTCTTTTCTGTCTGGGGGTGAAGGGTCCGAGTAGATCATGCTTGTTCTGATACCTCTCAACCATCGTCTTGTCTTCCTCGCATACTCTGCAGATTCATCCTTCCTCCCACGTATCCGGCAATGTATCTCCGCTTAGACGCCAAAGACATGGCCGAGACAGATCAAGCCCTCGGTGAAGTAATACTTCGAAGATGACTTTCAACGTGATCCCCTCGTCCGTCGCATGTCGGCGGCCCTCACTCCAGCTGCCTCGCTGTTATGTCCTAGTCCTGAGAGAAAGATGCATTCCGTCCGCCCCCCCCCCCCCCCCCTCCAGATACTCATCTAATTCCGACTTGACCTGGGAAAAAAAATAGTATTTCGTGGGGTATGCCGAGACGAGGTAACGGAATCGTCCGCCTTCGGAGAACCATCTCATATCCGAGGCAAGGGAGATGGAGACGAGACATGTCTGCACGCATGCACGCGTTCTGACCAGCTCACACTCTATCACTATGCACCGTATAGTTCTAAACCCTCGAGTAGTATACATGCGGCCATGATATATGTTAGATGTAGCCCTTTCCCGAGAGTCGTGGATACGTTCGATATTGACAACACCACATCGCCCAGGTTTGAGGGTAGGGCTGCAATTCAAGAAGCGAAACGATTCCAAATCATGGAAATACTCGACTCTTCCTTCTCCCGAGTCTCCAACCTTCTGCAAAAATGCAAAAATGTCCGGCAAAATATCCTCCAATCCCACAACAAAGTGAGGAACCTCCCCCCCCCCCCCGGGTCGAGCGTGGAGAGCTAGCCGGCTAATGTGTAGGCAATAATACTCCGCATTATCACTGCACGGCAACCCAACGATTCTCCCCCACCATCCATAAAGGGAACTTGCCGTGCGTTGCGCCATAACGACAAGCCTTGAGTGTCGAGCTCGGGAAATGTTAAGCGCAGGCACGGGCATCTCGTGATGGCGGCACCCGAGTCCGGGCAGACGGCTGCTGGGTTTGGCATGTCGCTGCCTCCCTATAAAGTCAGCATCCAAATGTCTCGCTCCTCGGCACCCCGAGGCCCTGGCAGCGGTGCGGGATTCGTGAACGCATGGATGACCCATCGACCCTGAGCCCGATACGATCAAACAAGAGGAAGATGGTGGCCCTCAGGACCGTCGTACTTCTGGTCTCGGCCGTCTCGGTCGTCTCGGCGCAGCAAGTGTACAAGCCCGTGGACGGACCGGACAACAGGTCGCAATGCGCCGATACGCAGACGGCCAAGGAGCCGACCTATTCCTTCTCGCAGTTTTCCTACACCATGACGACGACGGTGAGGTACGCGACGTCCCGGCCCTCGCCCACGGCGACGTCGACGTACGCCGCCCCGCCAGAGTCCCTCACACTCCTGATCCCCGAGCAGTCGTACACGACATGGGGCAGGTGGGAGCCCGGATCCGACGCCACGGCAACGGACACGGACGACCCATACGGGCAGGCCGCGTGGACGTCCCTGTGGGAGTCTGCCGACCCCCCCGGCTTCACCGACTCGGCCAGCAGCCTGTACTCGACGACGGTGGAGCCGACGGCCGTGCCCAGCAGCGAGCTCGTCCTGCCGCCCGGTGGCTACTTCGGCCCCACGGACTGCTACACCTTCCCGGCCGGCTTCGAGGTCGGCGTCTCCAGCTCGGCGGCGCAGATCGAGGGCGCCACCGCTCAGGAGGGCAAGGGCCCATCCCTCCTGGACCTGAACGTCCGCGACGGCCGGCCCAAGGACTACGTCACCAACGAGCACTACTACTACTACAAGCAGGACATCGAGCGCGTGGCGGCCATGGGGGTCAAGCACTTCTCCTTCAGCATATCGTGGGCGCGCATCCTCCCGTTTGCCCTGCCGGGCACACCCGTCAACCAGGAGGGCATCGACCACTACAACGACGTCATCGACTACGTTCTGGGCAAAGGCATGGTCCCCGTCGTCACGCTGCTGCACTTCGACACGCCGGTCCAGTTCTTCGCCGGGAACCTGACGGCCGTCGGCGACACGCCCGTCATCGGCTTCACCAACGGCGGGTACCAGAACGAGACCTTCCCGGACGCCTTCGTCAACTACGCAAAGATCGTCATGGCCCACTACGCCGACCGCGTTCCCACCTGGTTCACCTTCAACGAGCCCCTGCTTCACTCGTTCAACGGAGTGTCCGTCGACCACGTGCTGCGCTCGCACGCGCGCGTCTCGCACTTTTACAGGCACGAGCTCGGGGCCAGCGGCAAGGTCTCCTTCAAGCTGAGCAACAGCTTCGGCGTCCCGCGCGACCCGCGGAGCGACGCCGACGTCTACGCCGCCAACCACTTCAACTCCTTCTACCTCGAGACCTTTGGAAACCCCGTCTTTCGAGGTGAAGACTACCCGGAGTCGTACAAGTCCACGGTCCACGACTACGTCCCGCTGTCCGATGAGGACCTCGAGTACATGAACGGCACCGCCGACTTCCTTGCCATAGACCCTTACACCGCCACCGTCGTCGCGCCCCCCACCCCCGGACACGTGAGCAGCATCAGAGAGTGCGCCGCGGACTACGGCTCCGCCTACCGCCCTACCTGCGTCAGCCAGACCACCGTCGACGTCTACGGCTGGGACATAGGCTACCGCTCCCAGTCCTACGTCTACGTCACCCCAACGTACCTCCGTGCCCACCTCGGCTACCTCTGGAACACGTTCCGTGCCCCCGTCATGATCACCGAGTTCGGCTACCCCGTCTACGCCGAGGCTGACAAGGAGCTGTCCGACCAGCTCTACGACCTGCCTCGCAGCTACTACTACCTCAGCTTCATGTCCGAGGTCCTCAAGGCCATCTGGGAGGATGGTGTCAATGTCATCGGTGCATATGCCTGGAGCTTTGCTGATAACTGGTATGATTCGGTCCTGTTCTCCTCTATACTTAGCTCCTCCATTATCGTCCCTCTTCCCCTCTATCCCTTTCTTCTTCTGACCTCCATTCGACAGGGAATTTGGCGATTACGACCAGCACTTCGGCATCCAGACCGTCAACAGGACCACCCAGGAGAGGCACTACAAGAAGAGTTTCTTCGACTTTGTTGATTTCGCCAAGACGCGTGGAGCGGAGTAGCGAGGTTCACAAATAAGCAGAGGAAATATTACGAGACCGAGCTTCATGATTTCGATATCACACCATCACCCATCTGTAGAGGTGTATGGAATGATCATGATGGGAGCCTCTACTGTAACCTCACCGAGATGCATATTGCCCTACAGCATATCAACACTTCAAATCAACGCCTTATTTTCGTAAGCACGAGACAGTACTTCTAAATGATGAATCCATACCATTAACTCATGATTGATCGGGCGTTATTCTAGGTTCCACAGGAAAACATGTTGCGCAGCAATACATAGGAAGAAACAAGGGCAGAAACGGGAGGAGGGAGCAGAGAAACCACGGTGCTACATCTGAGCGCTCATCATGATACCAGACAGCCTAGGTGAACCCCAACGCTTCATCCCACACGTGCGGAGAGCTACCTCGTCTCGAGTCCTTCGAGGACGGGGTGATACGAGTATGTGTAGAGATCCTTATAGTAGACCCTTTTGGGAGCCCACAGGCCCTCGCCTGCCTTGGGCATCGTATGGGCACCGGCCTTGATATAGGTGGAATCGAGGTCGAGGTGAGAGGCTTCCTTCATCTTGGTGTCGGGAGCCAGACGGGCGACGACAGACTTGATCTTCTGGGACTCCATGGCGTTCCATAGCCTAGCAAGGAAGATAGACGTGGCCTCGGCGCCCAGCGTCCACGAGGCGTTGGCATATCCTATGATGAAGGCCAGGTTTGGAACGTCCTGGACCATGCAGGCCTTGAAAGAAAACTTGCTGGAGAGGTCAGTGGGCCGGCCATCGACCGATATCTTGATCTTGCCGGCGAAGCTGAGCTTGACACCCGTGGCCAGAATGATGATGTCGGGCCGCAGCACCTTGCCGGATTGCAGTCGGATAGAGTCCGAGTCCATGCTGCTGACGACATCTGTGACGATGTCGGCCTTTGTCGAGCGGAGGGCAGCGTAGAAGTCGCCTCCTGGCGTGATGCACAGTCGCTGATCCCAGGGGTTGTAGCGCGGGGTGAGGTTGGGGTCCATGTCGTAGCCCGCGGGAAGCTCCCTCTTGATGGCGGACCGGATGAAGAAGCGACCGACGCTGGGGAGGTACTGGCAGACGTAGTATAGCAAGTAGCCGAGGAAGGCAAATTCGATGCGCTTTATGCGGCCGCTGACGGAGAGGGGCAGCATGGCCAGGAGAAGCCTGATCGGGAGCAGCTGCTTCATCGGGAGCGGGAAGATGTAGCTTGGGCTACGCTGGAGCATGGTGACGTGCCCAGCGTCCCTGGCTATGTTGGGCAGCAGGGTGATGGCGGTTGCACCGCTACCGATAATGACGACGTTCTTGTCGAGATAGTCGAGATCCTCGGGCCAGAACTGCGGCTGGATGACGGTGCCTTGGAAGTTGTCTATCCCAGGGATGATGGCCGGCAGCGGCATGTCGTAGTCGTAGTATCCAGTCCCCAGGACCAGGAACTTGGAGCAGTACGTGACCTCCTTCTCCTCGGGCTCGACGAGCGACGTCACCCTCCACGTCGACGACTCGGAGCTCCAGTCGACCGAGACAATGTGCTGGTGAAACCTGATGTGCTTGTCGATGCCCTCCATGGCCGCCGACTCGCTCAGGTACGCGCAGATCTCGTCGCCCGGTGAGATGGGCTTCTCGCCCTGCCACAGGTTCCACGAGAAACCGTAGGTGTAGACGTCCGAGTCGGAACGGACGCCGGGGTACTGGAAAAGGTCCCATGTGCCACCGATGCGTCCGCGCCGCTCGAGAATGGCATACGACGAGTTCTTGGGACCACGGGTCTGGAGGTAGTACGCCGTGTTTATGCCTGAGATGCCGGCCCCGACGATGATGACGTCGAGTATCTTACCAGATTCTGGATTGGAGCCCATGATGAATGCTGTTTGTGTCTGTATGCTCTCTGTGTGTCCTTGTCTCTACTTCCTCGGGTTCTTCTCTCTGCGTGCGTGCAGATGAGATGAAGTTCTGCTGTATGAATCGATGCAGATGAGAAGCAGGGGAGTTCAGATGAAAGGAGGAGCTGCTGAGAACGTATATGAAGGCTGGAACCGAAGCTTGACTGAACTACTATATCGATTACCTTGCCGTTGCAGCTAGTGCAACTGCAACGCGATGGGGTGTGTACCTTGCGTGTGGTGACGATGGGAAAACCGAGGCCTCATCAAGCAAGTGGCACTGACATCTCACACAAGATTTCATGATCATCATGCCCACGCAGGGAAGTAACTGGCCGATATTCACCTCCAGCTTTCCCGGTAACATCTTCACCCTGGTACTGACGAGCCACGTTGGTACGTACCTGCTGCCGATGAACCAAGACAGAAGAGGAGAGAAGACTCCCGGAAGAGGGGAAGGTGTGATTGCCATTCCGCACAGAGTTGAAGTAGCTCTGTGTGAAGGTGCGTGCAGATACGTTCCTGACCGTTGAAACAGAAAGGACGGGGGCCTCTATCGTGGTGGCCCATGGGAAATGAACCTGAGTACGGAGTAGGCACGGACGATGACCCCTGGACTGATGGGAACGTGGGCCCTAGTTAGGAGTCGGGCATTTCGAGTTCGAGAGATCCCTGCAAGGGTCGCAAAGTCAGCCTTCAACCAGGCAAGGCTCGACAGACGTCGCTAGCCTCGCAAGCTACCGATGGCATCGGACAAGTGACAATCATATGGTCATCGTATGCATCCGCTTCGCATCCTTGGCCTGACCCTGCACCACTCCCCCGCATCGGCACGGGCTTCATCAATCATCCGTCGCATCCGCCATCGTTCCCCCCTCATTCGACGTTGATCCAAAGTGCCGAGAGAGTTTAGTTTGGTTCCCATCTCACCCTTTGTCTCCCACCTTGATAGTGCGTCAAACTTTTTTTTAAACCGACCTGCAGTCCCACCACTGACGGAGGGGAGGGGGGGGGTTTTTTCGTCGAACGCCAATCCCCAAGGTCGCGTCGCCACATGCCTCAGCTGGCTTGTGATCGCTGCTCCCGGCGAAAGGAGCGATGCCTCTTCGATGACGGGGCGCGATCATGCCAGAGATGCTCTCAGAAGAGTGCCGTGTGCTCGTTCAACCGCCATCAGCGACGCATGGGTCGTCGCCCGCGACCTCCGAATATGCCCTCTGGACGATGCGACGTCGTGAGCCTAGAGCAATTCACTACTCCGCCAACTCCCGAGTCTAGAACGGGCTGCACGCCAGCTGAGCCAAGGTACACAGTGCCGGACAGTGAAACAGTGGCGTTGTCGACGGCGCCCTCGAACGAGGCATACGCGGTGCCGCAGCGGCGACGTGGTGACGGCGGTGACGACGATGACGTCACCGATAACGGGACCAATATCAGTGCCATTATAGACGGCATCATGAATGACCCCATCGTCTTCTGTCGGTTCCACGAGAACTTCACCATCGGGCGCAGCTTCACCGCCGACTTCCAGGCCGCCGTGCGCGCCGTCGCCCCCTTTGCCAACGGCATCCTGATCGACTCATACCGCGCCTCCCTCAACATGTGGGAGGTGGGCACGCGTCGGGTCCGGCTTCCCAGCGAGGGCGACGTGTCCTCTGGCACCGACTGCCTGCGCCTCCTGCAGGACGCGGGCTCGTCTACCAAGTGCAGCGAGGACGCCGCCGCCACCCTCATGGCCGGCCAGGTGCTCCTGGTTCACCACGTGGCCATGATGTGTACATCGGCACACTCGATCCTGCGCAGCTCGCTGCTGGCCGTCGAGCCCTTTTACCGCGATCTACTCTCCCAGCCGGCCATGGATACCATCACCATCACCCCCATCCTCGTCGACACGATCGAGTCGCTTGTCCGGCGCGAGTCACCCATCATCAGGACGTCCTTGTGCGACCGGTACTACATTGTCGACCGGTCCGTCGGGCTCTGCTGGTCGCTGCTATCGCTCATACAGGAGCTGTGCGACTGCAGCGTACGGGTACGGGAGCAGGGGACGATGGCTAGTCGCCCAAGCAGCGATGACGACGGCCGCGATGCATACACTGACATCGAGGCCAAGATTCGCCGGTGGGAGGCCTGGCCGCCCCCAGACGTCTTCTCCCGCTTCACAGCCCTCGAGGTGACGGCCATGCTGCTGCAGGCACGACTGTACCGGATCGCAACGCTGCTCATCATCCACCGCCTGCGGTACCCTCTCGGCGTTCGCGACGAGGAGGCCCTCGTAGGTGCCAACATGATCTTCTCGGAACTCAAGAGCTTCATGTCGTGGGCGCCCAGCGACCTGAGGGCCCTACCCATCGGACTGCCCCTGCTCGTAGCCATGCTGGAGATCAAGGAGCCTGGCGAGGGGATAGTGGGTCAGCTGGCCTTGTTTGAGACGTATCCCCGGTACGTCAGCGAGTTCATACGATTTGTCGATCTCGTATGGGATGCTCGGAAGGGCGGGTTTCGCGGACCATGGGTGGATCTGGCGGCGCAGTTCCAGATGCCCATGCTACCATGATGTACATTGAGTGAGCATTGCATGTATGGTGTATGTATACGAGATTGGGTCTTTTTTCTTTTTTTCTTCTTTTTCTTTCTTTTCTAGTTCTTGTACGAGTAAAAATCAATGTCGTGATGCATTTCCGTTATTGAGCTATAGGAGCCAGTGCTATATAGTGAAAACAATGTCCGTCGTCTGAGCTTCATCATCGAGAAGGATCGGATGGTGTCGTTTCCCTCCCGCCCACGATAAGAAAAAAAAACCAAGATGAGATAGAAGAGAGGATAGGGGAAGGAGGAGAAGGAACAGAGAGGCATGACTTAGGCCGTCTTCTTGGCAGGGAGAGGCGTCATCTTGGCGGTACTGTTGTTGACCATGATCTGCACCCAAGAGGGGAAGTGGCGGATGCTGCTCATCCACGAGTACATGTCTGGGACGAAGACGTGACCGGCACGTCGGCTGAATATCTGCTTGGTGACGCTGTCGGCGACGAACTGGGAGGTCAACATGGGGCCCATGGAGCTCGTGATGGCGTCGGCGTAGCGGCTGGTCATGCCCGAGGTGGCCCACCAGGGGTGGACGCAGGTGGTGAGGACGCCCTTGACCTTGTGGACCACGTTGAGCTCGGCGCGGAGGGTGTCGGTGAAGGCGAGGGCGCCGGCCTTGGTGGCCGAGTAGTGGGCGGCGTTGGCGAGGATGGTGTAGGAGGCGGCCGAGGCGATGGTGACGACGTGGCCCTTGTCGGCGAGGATCATGTTGGGGACGAACTGCTGGGTCGTGTACCACAGCGACAGGAGGTTGACGCCGACCACCTTCTGGACATAGTCGGGGCTGGTGTCGAGGATGGGCTGGTTGGTGACGATGCCGGCGTTGTTGACGAGGATGGTCGGGTGGCCAAAGGTGGAGCGCACGGCGTCGGCGGCAGCTCGCACGGCCTCGTGGTCGGACACGTCGCACTGGAAGTGGCGGATCAGGCCGTCGGCCTCCATGTCGGCGGGCAGCGGGGCCACGTCCAGGACGGCGACGCGCACGCCCTTGGCCGTCAGGTTGAGCACCATGTCGCGGCCGATGCCGCCGCTGCCGCCCGTCACGACGGCAATCTCCTTGGGCCAGTCCCACCCGCTGGCCGTCGTGATGGTCCAGTTGCTCAGGGCGCAGCGGCTCAGGAACCGGTTCACCGTCCGCACAATCGCCACCCCGAGTACGATCTGGAGCGGGAACTTGAGGTCCGCCACCCCGCCGCTCAGATACCGCGACACCACCTCCGGCTTGAGAAGCTTGGCTACCACGTCGGCAGGGGCATAGGTGAGGAATACCAGGGCCGAGCCCGGGACGATGGGGTTGAGAACGATGGACTTGACGGTGTGGTAGAAGCGCATAACCGTCTGAGATGTCGCCATGATGTCGGTGTTGTTTGATATGAGATGAAATCTTCCAACGTCAAGGTTAATGGAGGWSAARRMACWARWAAGTWGTMGAKRGAGARRGRGRGRGAGAGAGAAGGAGAAGGAGATGAAGAGGAGTTGGGAACGCAAGAACGGTACGACACAACATACAACAACTCAATCAGGCACAGAGGACTTGTCCCCCGCTTTCCTTTTATATACTTTGTCAACTGTTGAAAAGTAGCAGGCCACAATCTACATTCGTGGCTGTAGAGAAAGATTTGGAAAAAAAAAAAAAATGAAAATAAAAACATCTCATGATGCGTACTCTGTACCTGTACGTACCGACGAGATCAAACATTCAGAGTACCTACTACAGCCCACCCTTAGCCATATTATCATCGACTTATTTCATTATTGGCATCACTTCTGCCGGTGGCTACGACCTGCTGTTCATGCGTTAATACCAGGCTTTGTGCCAAGCTTGGTTGGGTCTTCCTCTCTCTTGAGTCTTCGCATTGGATCGGATCCAATGGAAGGTTTTTGGTTGACGTCCCCTTTTTCCATCTTGCATGTCATCGGATATATAATACCTCATTCGGAAATAGATCTCCGCCTGGAAATCCCACATCGACTTTCGCGTAGCCTTCCGCCGCGTCCCCGTTCCTATTCACAGTGTAATGCTTGTCTCACTACGAGTACTCCGTAACTCCCCTTGACCCTTAACAAGGAGAAGCCTAGCTCTCAATTGACCCCGTCTGTGCGTCCGAGCGACCGACCGCTACGACTGGAGTGATACCTACTATTAGTACCAGTTCAAATACGAGCAGTCGCAGGCGTGACGCTTGTGAGGTCTAATGCAGATCTCTCAACTCGGAAACTGGTCCGCCCTTTCTCTCATCGGTCTAATAATACCCCTTCAGGCTTCGGTTGGTAGATCTGATCCCCACTCACGTGCCGAGGCTTGTGACTGTCACACGCACGCGCCGCCCGTCTTCTCCTTCCCGGCCCCCCGGAGACACGAACCAGAGAGACATACACAATGGCAAGACGAGGCCACGGAGCACGGAGCACACCATAGCACCTGCCTGCCTGCCTTCTGTTCTTTATCTTCTCCCTCGTGATAGCATTCCTCTCTCTCTCTCTCTCTCTCTCACCAAGTCATAGCCTTCCCTCCCCCCGCCCCTCCCTCATCGACGTCACACGCCTACGATACGAGTAGACACATGTAACTTTGATATCACATCTTGAAAACACCGCGACCATGGTCCTGACGAATCCCCTCGTCCGATTTGCCTACATCTTCCTCGTCGCCCCTTGGCAGTTCTCGCTCCCGGTCCTGCGCCAGCTGGTCCTGGGCTTGGTGCCGCAGGGTCGCCCATCTACCAGATGGACGCTGCGACAGACCATGGCCGTGACAGCCATCAAGTCTATGCTGCGGGTGAGCTCTGTGCTGCAGCGGCGCAAGGTGCTCTCACTGCAGCCTGGAACCGAGGGCTCGCGCTTTACGGTGGTGCCTCCGGCAGACGACACGCTCTACGTCGGCCCCCTGGCCGATGAGGAGGTGCGCCCCTGCGCCGTGGGTGGGACCTGGACGCCGTCGGAGCCGCCGCGAGTCGATGCAGGCGGCAGCGGGGACGACGAGAAGCTCCGCGTGGTCCTGCACTTCCACGGGGGTGCCTTCGTCATAGGCGACGGACGCGACCACGACACGGGCTTCACGGCCGATATACTCCGCACCAACGGCGGCTTCACCCACGTCTTTACGCCGCAGTACCGTCTCGCCGTCGACGCCGAGACGCGCTTCCCCGCGCAGCTCCAGGATGCCGTATCGGCCTACCTCCACCTCACGCGAAAGCTGGGCATCCCGGCTTCCAACATCGTCATCGGCGGCGACTCGGCCGGCGGCAACCTGGCCCTCGCGCTGATTCGATACATCCACGACCACGGCGAGGACCTCTCCATCCCCTGGCCGTCCGCCGCCCTCCTCTGGTCCCCCTGGACCGACCTGACGTCGACCCACGACCCCGTCCACGTCCGCAACGTCGCAAACTTCTCCACCGACTACCTCGCCGAGGGCTTCGCCGTCTGGGGTACCGAGTGCATCACTGGCGCCGGCAAGATACCGGCTGACAGCCCCTACCTGTCGCCCGGTGTCAGCGAGCCCTTCCGTGTGCCCCTGCCCATCTGGGTCCACACCGGAGGGTCCGAGGTTCTGTTTGGCGATAACAAGCTCCTCGTCCAGTCGTTTAGGTCCGTGGGCAACAATGTGGATTGGTACGTTGATGACTTGTGTCCTCACGATATCGCTCTCCTCGGCAAGGTTCTAGGTTGGGAGAAGGAGGCTCGTGATGCTGCCGCTGCTGCCAACAAGTTTCTTACTCTGTAGCTCTTTTTTCCCCTGCACTTCTTCCATTTCTTCCCCTCCTTCTCCATCTCTGTCCCTACTGCATCTTTTTTCCTCTCTTAGCTCTGATTCTTCAATATAATTCTTCTTTTCTTTCCGTTTTGCAAAAGTTCTCACGAGCATCTTTTGCTTTGAAAAGTTCTCTTAAGAATATCTTTCCCACCTCCGTATGACCTCGTGATGACGTCAGATTACATGCAAAGACGATATAGTGCAAGTAAGGAGCCAGCGCTTCCAGGACAGAGGTATAGTATATATACCATCTAACTTCCCAGAATTTTCAACATTCACATAGCCTGCCCGGCTAGCTCAATCGGTAGAGCGTGAGACTCTTATTCACGCTTCACGGCTGAATCAAGAAGAATCCACACCATCTCAAGGTTGCGGGTTCGACCCCCGCGTTGGGCTTTTCCTATAAAAAAACAATACGATTGAATCCTTTCTTTTTTTATTTCTTTTGGTACTCTTCTTCCTTGATGTTTTCTTCTCTTCTCATGGAGTCATCGAGAGACTTGACGTTTTGGGATTTTGTCCTTTATCCATCCCCATATGTATTGATACATCAAGACTGTCGTATCAATTCTGTAAATGATAAGTATCAGCATGTCATGCATGCATCGTCTACAATAAGTAGCCATCTTGCGATAAAGGTATTATAGACAGACGCAAAAAGGAAAATTTAAGACTATCAATCTTCTGAATTCGACTTATAGGTGGTCATGTATCCACCGATTAATACAAAACATGCTATGTAGGTTTCCCATCCCAGGCCAATGCAAAAAAAAAAAAAAAAAAAAGAAAAGAAAAGAGAAAGAGAAAGACAAAACTACAGGTAGTAGTGGTAAGTTATAGGCCAATCAATAACAGCGAGGTCAATACAAAACAAGAAAGAAAAAAAGAGGTAAAGGGTAATAATGGACAAAAGAAAAGAAAGGAAAGACAGAAGGAAGAAAGAGGACGAAAAGAAGGGCCAGGGCCGGCCAGGGTATCGTCATCAGTTATCCTCTTTCCCCCTTCAACTTGGACTTTTTTTTTCAGTCACAAGATGCAAAATGAGTGCGCCGCAAGATGATTTCCCGAGAAAACAAAGAAAATACGGGCCAGAAAGAACCCAGCTCGGAGAAAAGAGGTCGAGAAAAAGAAACGGTAGCGATGGTATGAGGGTGGAGAGTTGGAGGGGTAGGGAGGAGTGCAGCAGGAAGATGGAGAGACAGGGAGACAGGGAGAGAAAGCCTATATCAACGCCGCTTGCTAAAGAAATCAGCAAGCGGGCGCGTCCAGCCTCTCTGTATCCGGCTCCCCAACCTCTGACGACGACTACTCTCCCCATCCCCCTCAGAAATATCCATCTGCGAGAAATCTGCCGAGCCGTACCGGGCTTCTCACCCTCGTAGACCCTCGGCCAGAGCGTCGTGGTCAATCGTCTCAGCATTCACCTTGGCAGGTGCGCCCTTGCGTGCCTGCGATGCCCAGTATTCTTGGAAGCCGGGGATGGAGCCGGGCTGGTTGATACCCGGCGTGCGGCTCGCAACCTTGTTATCCTTGGGCTTGGCTGCCGACGTCGTGCTGCCGGTGGCGCTGACCGTATCTGTCGCCGTCGTCGTTATCGATGGGGCCGGACTGCCCGCAGGGCTGGGCTGTTGTGACGATGGTAGCTGCAGGAGGTCCTTGTTCCCCGCCGCCGTGTTGGTCGAGCTGGCATTAGACCCCGCCCAAGGCCGCCACCCTACCAGCTTCCCCAAGCCGCCCTTAAGGCTACGCTGGGAAGATGACGGGGATGGACTCCGCGTCGCAGATCCGGCCGAAGGCGTGAGGCTACCTGATCGAGCCGTCTGGGTTCGCGAGAATTGGTCGCGCAAGGCCACGTCGCTCCGCTTGCTAGAAGAGAGAGACATGGTTGGCTGAGCCGTGACTCCCGTCACCACGGCCTGCACGCCCCCGATAGGACGCAGCGTCATCTGACTCGGTCGGGATTTGAGCGTGTGAATGTCCAGGCCGCCCTTGAGTGACATGATCGAGCCGTGGGAGACGGTGCGACGTAGCCGACTCCGCGACGGGCTCTCATGTTGCATCATATCTGCCATCCTGTCACCCGTCGCCAGATTGTCCTCGTCTTCCTCCCTAATGATGTTGTCGCAGCACTGAGCCGATGGCGTCTGCCAGTCGAGTGCCGTGTCCGGCGCCAGGTCTGTATGCGACAGAGTCTGTATGCTCTGGTGTGAGGCGTTGGATGTGCGCTTACTGTGTGCTCGCCACGTGGGTGACATTGGGTCGTAGCTAGTCGTCGGCGATGCCGGCGACGTAGTACCCAGAGCCGAGGCGTCAAAGATGGAGCTGACCCTGTGGGACCGCGGCGAACTGGCGACAGACGATGTAAATTCCGACACCAGCGCTGAGTCGCCGCTCCACGTCGGCGTGGTTGTAATTTCCGTCTTGCTGTTGTTGTTCGCCGGCGTCGTGGGCTCGTCTCCGTCGCCGTCGGGGTCCAATGACCGTGCAGAGGAAGAAGTGGTGAGGGACGGGACTGGTGTCGCAGTGCCGGACGATATGGATGGTGAGTAGAAGCCACCCGGTGTCAGGCCCTGGCGCTTCTTCTTAGGTTTGCGGGCGTCCTGTCTAGGGACGTGGTAGTGGTGGTGGACGTGGAGCTCCTGGGATAGCTTAGTCTCCCTGTTAAGCTGGGGAGCGAGATCGTCGTGGAGGTTGGTGCGGACAAGCTCGTCTTGGCTGGTGCCGGCGGGTTGGTGGTTCATGAGCTGGCCGCGCAGCATCTGGATCTCGCTGTTGGAATTGAGGAGCATCTCTCGCAGCTCGGCAATGCCCAGCTGGAGGCTGGCATTGTCCTGGAGCAGGTCGCGAACGAAGTGGCTGACGACACTGCTGCCATCCTTCCGGACGCTCAACGACTTCGAGGCGGCAGCGCCCTTGAGGCGGCCGGCGGCAGTGTCGAGCTGCTTCTCCACATCACGCTGACGCTCCATGCGACTGATGATTTCTGCGTGACGCTTCCGCTCCTGTTGAGCCTCCTGCTCCATGCGCTCCAGCTGGTCCTGCATATCGAGGATGCCTCTCTGTGCTTCCTTGCATCTCTGCGCGTGTGTGCGGGCATCCTCCCTGGAGAGCCGCAGGTCCGAGTGCAGCTTCATCTGCTCCTCCTCCAGCAGGGACAGGTGTCGTTCAGCATCCTCGGCACGGGCCGCGGCGGCTTCGAGACGACGGACAGTCTGTTGCGACGACAGCAAGCTGGCCTCGAGGCTTCGGATCTTGGTGTCGGACTCGCTGACGGTGCTGTTGAGCATCTCGAGCTGGTCGCTGAGCTGACGGTTCTCCTCCACCTTGGTCGCGTTGGCAGCCTCAAGTTGGTGCTTATCCTTCTCCAACCGCTCGATTCGGCTCGTCAACTCTAACCTGTCCCGCTCGGCATCGGCCATATAAGCCTCATGGCGGGCGAGAAGAGCCTGGAGGGCAAATGTCAGCCCGGAATCCATCGATTTCTCCTCCATCTCGTAGTTAGATACTGGTCGAGGGAGCAACATGCGGGATGTTGGGAAAACGGAAAACAAAAGGGAAGCGACAAGGACAGAGGGAGAAGATGGAAAAAGCAACGAGAAGGAAAAAGGAAAAACTGTCACTGGGTTGCCCCTTGCTGTCCTTCTGCCAGACTCGCCATCCCAAGCCAGTGGACAACATCATCAACACGAATGGATGGGCACCGCCCACTGGAACGCAGCTGGTAAATGAGCCCGGGTAGCATAGGGGATTGACTCGTAACAGACAGCAGAACATGCAAGAAGGCATCAAAGACACTAACACACGGCAGGAATGCAGGCTCGTCGGAAATTAAGGAAATTGATTCGTCGTACCTGACCCAGCTGCGCGGCTGTATGAACATCCTTCTCGACAGATTCGAGCACCGAGCAGTTCTTTTTCAGAAAGGGGCAATCGGGGCGTCCACAGCAGCAGTTGATAAAGGATTCGGGGGAGCCAGATCGCCTGTCAAAGTTGACGTCCAAGGCCATCGGGGGGGCCATGATGAGGGGGCGAGGACCCATGGTGTCTCTTGGTAGGAGAGAGCCGCCGAGAAGGCGGTCTCAGATCGACTCGGAGGGGGGGGGGGGGGTGTGTGTGTGTGGTAGAAGATGCTCGAATTTCGCTGATCTCGCTGGTTTGGGGAGTTGTTGTTACCGCATCTGACTAGACGGGTCGTCATGAACGGCTAGCGTAGCAGAGCGCAGTGACGCCAAACATGATCTTTTTCTGAGACAAGGGCGCGGGGCCAGGAGGGCAGAGAGATAGAGGCTGCTTCCCCTAAGGAGGGGAAGAGAAGCAGCAGTAGTGTACGGCCGTAGTACTAGCTGAGACTTGGAGAGCGGGTACCTAGGAAAGACGGGAGAAGAGGTGTTTGTCTTTGGGCGCCGAGACAAGAAATAGGAGAGAAATGGAATGATGATTCTCCAGCAGAAAGGAGGGGAGAGGTGATAGAGTCGGGGATTTTTTTCTTGGGGATTTGCTAGAGGCCCGGCAGACAAAAAGAGACAAGAGAGTCAGTCTCGAAAATCAAAGGGCCAACTCCGAGCGACTGGCCTAAATGAGATTACACATTTGGACGCGGTGGGAAAGCGCGAGGCACCGCGCGTGATTGCCCTGGACGATGAATTCTGACGTATGGGGAGGGAGCTGCCCCGCCCCGCCCCACTAAAAAGGTCAGTTCCCAGGCACAGCCGAGCAAGAGGCAAAGCCACAACGAGCAAGGTTGTGGCTGATGTGTGCGCGGCTGGTGTGTTGGGTGTCTGTGGCTTTGACACCACTCGATCACCACCTAAACACCAGCAGCAGAAGCGGCAGCAGTATGTAGCAGCAAAAGACTGTGGAAGGGCAAGAAGGATAGCGACGAGAAAGCCTTGAAGTGGAAGAAGAAAAAAAAAGGTGAGCTGGCCCTGTTTATAAAGTCATTCATCTGCAGACGTGGTGATTTCAGGCACCCTTTGCAGAGTTCCCTGGGCAGACACGCCTGCACAAGCCCGCTCATGTCTCCACATAAGCTCATGCAATCCCGGCCATTCTGACATGTGCTTTTCTGACATTGGAACTGGTGCAATCCAATCTGGCCACGACAGCTCTGCCAACTTGCACATGCAGTACGGTCATTGGACAGAAAGAGCAGGGCTCATATGTACGGAGTAAACGGAGTACAGATAGTAGTGGACCATTTTGCCTCGCTCGCCAACCCCTCCCCCATCCCCTCAAAGGTCCCGACAGTTTTTATACATGATACTCGGCGTGCGTAGGCGTGCGTAGGTGTGCGTATTCGTAATTGAAGATACCCACGTCCACTCGTGATAATAATGAACAGCTGCAGCGGTTGGCAGAGGTGGCACGGGTCGGAATAGCCATTCATCATCGTCCCTTAGCCCCGCTGACAGACGGCTAACGACAGGCCCTGGCAGGTCCAACGCATCGGGGTTCAACATCACTGATCAGTATTGCAGAATATCGATGCATGCCATCCTGGCAAACCCACAAATCACTTTGACGATACACCGTCTTTCGCATACAATAAAACGAGGTATTATCAGGTGTACGGGTAGAGAAGAGCAAAATAAGCCTGAGGATGATGCACAGGTTTGGTAAGCAGGTCCTAGGATACTTGATTTTTTTATACTCACGTGACTTAGGTAAGCTGGGCTCGACCATGGATGTGCCAAGTTCGGCAGGAATACTCATAATGAAGAGTCAAGAACTTTTGACACCGAATAGCACATAACCCACATCTAAGCGGATTGACTGTGTTATGTAGTGTCTACCCGTTTTGATATCCATACGCATGACTGTTTTATTTGCCTTCATCGATTGCCTGCTATGATCTCTTCCTCGTGGTTTCGCCTATATCGGCTTCGACAACGTTCATATAAGATCTAGTAAGAATATCTCTACTTTCGACCGACAACCTAGGAAAAGTGCATGTGTGACAGCTGCTATTACGAAGTACTGATACCATTCTAGAAATGACACTGACGGCCGTAACAGACGTGGCTCTGACCCGGCAGCTACGACGTAATACAGTTCGCCTATACTGGCTAGCACTGGTAGTCCAGCAACACACACACTCCCTTAATAATCGCCGTTTACTTCTACATCGTCATCCTCTACTTCTTCCGTCCCAGAAACTGGCTGGTCCTTGCCATGTCGTCATGGTCTCAACCAGCGCCGCCCGTACCATCGCTCCCCCCCCCCCCTAGCGAACCAATAATGTCTCAGCTATTGTCATTATCGTCATGGCCCCTCCGCATCTATGCAACCTCTACGTCTTACAAGTTTACCACAGGCTTATGAACGTGGGTAGATATACCATAACTGTATACATTGCGTGCCATCTTCGTATAGTAGTCTCTCTCTCTCTATCTCTCTCTCTCACTATCTCTCTCTCTCTCTCTTACCCCGTAGCTACGACCTGCATGCTCTATTAAAGCCTTTGTACCCATCACCCTCTCCTCTCCCCTCCCACCCCCCTCCTCTTACCCCATGCCACTCGTACGATATCACCGCTTCATTCTCCGTCCCAAGAGGTCGTTAACACCACTCGAATCATCATCCTTCCCAAGCCGTTATCATTCACGACGGCCCTTCTCAAATAGCATACGCACCATGGCTCCTCAAGAGTACAAGCTCAAGAACATCACGTCCCTGGAGGGTCTGGCCCCCAGTGCCAAGCAAGAGGTCGAGGTCGAGGGCATAGAGGGGGGTAGAGTCCTCCTCGTCAACGCTGCTGGCACCATCCAGGCTCTCGGCTCAAAGTGCACGCATTACGGCGGTCCCCTGGCCAAAGGTGTTCTGACCAAGTCTGGCCGTCTGACCTGTCCGTGGCATGGAGGTGTGTTTCGCTATCCCCCCCCCCTCCCCCCCCTCTGTGTTCCCCTGTGTCTCTACCTCCTGCGTACCCGTTGCAGATTCTGACTGCACCAACAATAGCCTGCTTCAACGCCAAGACGGGCGATATAGAAGATGCCCCAGCCCTCAACTCCCTTCCCGTCTTCAAGACCACCGAGCGCGACGGCGCCGTGTACATCACCGGCGAAGAGTCAGCCATCAAATCGGCTCGTCGGACGCCCAACTTCAAGTGCGCCGGCTCCGGCACCGGGGAGGGCCACGTGGTCGTCGTTGGCGGCGGGTCTGGTGCCATCGGCCTGGTGGAGGGTCTCCGAGAGAAGGGGTACGCCGGTGGACTGACGGTGATCACCAACGAGGGTTACCTGCCCGTTGACCGGCCCAAAGTGAGCAAGGCGCTCATCGCCGACCCCGCCAAACTAGCCCTGCGGGACAAGGCCTGGTTTGAATCCGGTTCCGTGGATTGGGTGGACGGCGAGGTCGTCGGGGTTGACGTGTCGGAGAGGAACGTCACCACCAAGGCAGGCGACAAGATTTCCTACACCAAGCTTGTCCTCGCGACCGGCGGTGTGCCCCGGAAGCTGCCGCTGCAGGGCTTCACGGTCCTGGACAACATCTTCACCCTGCGCAGCGTCCACGACGCCAAGAAGATTGTCGAGGCCGTCGGCGAAAAGGGCAAGAAGGTCGTCGTAATCGGATCGTCGTTCATAGGGCTCGAGGTTGCTCTGGCCCTGAGCAGTGACAACTCGGTGTCCGTTGTGGGTATGGAAAAGGTCCCCCTGGCACCTGTGCTGGGTGAGCAAGTCGGCGCTGGGATCCAAAAGGTCGTCGAGGGCAAGGGCATCAAGTTCTACCTCGGCGCTGGCGTGGACAAGGCCGAGCCTCTCGGGTCCGACCAGTCCAAGGTGGGCGCCGTGGTCCTGCAGGACGGCACAAGGCTGGAGGCCGACCTGGTCATCCTAGGCGTGGGTGTCTCCCCTGCCACCGAGTTCCTCCGCGACAACAAGGTCCTCCGTCTCGAGCCCGATGGGTCCCTCAAGACGGACGAGACGTTTTCCGTCGTCGGCGTCAAGGACGTCTACGCCATTGGCGACATCAGCACCTTCCCCTACCACGGTCCCGGTGGAGAGGGCAAGGACACCAGGATCGAGCATTGGAGCGTGGCGCAGAATTCGGGGAGGGCCGTGGCCGCACACATCGTCAACGCGTCCCTCACGCCGTCGCCGCAGTTCATCCCCGTATTCTGGTCCGCCCTCGGTGCTCAGATGCGCTACTGTGGTAACACGGCCGGCGGCTATGACCATGTCATTGTCGACGGGAATCCCGCTGAGGCAAGCTTTGTCGCTTACTATACACAGGGGGAGACGGCCGTGGCTGTCGCTAGCATGGGTCGTGATCCCCTTGTTATGCAGAGTGCAGACCTCATGAGGACCGGTACTATGCCAACGAGGTCACAGCTAGAGGAGAATCCCGACGTCATGGCGGTTGGGATACCGGCTTGATATGTGGGCAAGGAGTAATAGTTTACGAAATGGCGTTTTGTCCTTTTCTTCGCGTATGGTATCATTTGTCTTCTCAAATAGCTTTGATATGGAAATACAGCACCGTATTACAGATTCACGGTACCCCACCCAGATGTCGTTTGTTCCGCAGGGTGTTGGATACGAATTGCAGACGAGCAGCGATGATTACGAGTTGTCCTTTTACGTTGAATGCCACGGGTGTGTAAGTTTGGCGGTATACATCCTAGATAGCAGCACGCGTCGGGTGTGGAGCATGGACAGTCGAGCATGGTAGGTCGTTCGGGTCGTGAGTCATGGTATGCAACGGTACCGAAGACAGACATTAGTAGTATTCTTTGTTCTGGGTGCAGTCGAGGAATTGGGTAAGACTAACCTCGGGAGAGAAAAAGGTGAAGCCATCGCCCTCTAGAGAATGATCGGAATTGAGTTATGCCGTCCTTCAGACCCTGCTCCCCGAGAAGAGGAAGAGAGCCCTCAGAGGCGGCACGCCGCGTATCGCACTCAAGTTGACTCAACAAGCTTCGCACAGACTTTCCATGGAGGTACCCAAGAAACTCCTTCTCCTTCCCAAAGCTCCGGCCCCCAAGGGTACCGAAAACAGAGGTTGGAAGAAAAGAGCTGGGGCTCCGAGATTTCTGATGTCCAATGCAGACGTCGAGTGACGCCAGGCCATCGCTGGCAGACCTATGCATCGTCCAACCAAATTGGTGGACGAGAGGGAGGGTTGTTCAGCCCAAAAGGACGAACAGTTTGAAGCATTCTCCGAATTTCCCACATGCAAGATAAGAAGTGAAGAGAGGAAGGAAATCTGAATGAGTTCCCCTCTCTTCTGTTTGTAGCATGGAAACGCAGCGTTCAAGAGGGCGATGACTTGAAGAAGAAGAAAGAAAGGAAAAGGAAAGCGAAAAAAAAAAAAAGTTATGAGGAGCTTTTTTTCTCTGATAGTGGGGGGGAAAGAGCTTGTCGGAGGGGCGGGCACTAGTTTCTCCGCACTTACCCTGTGTTCTGAAATCAGATTTACATCCGCGTGAGGGTTACCGTATGGAACTTGAAGTAAATGGAAATTCTTGGCTGGTTTGTTGTTTATTCTATTAAGGACGTTGGTTCATTTCAAGTAGCCATAATGGAAAAAATGTGTATTGTATTCTTGATTGTTGCGCAATACTTCAGCCGCAATACTTCAGCGTGCTATTCTGTGCAGATGCTTCTGTGCCATGATTGCTAGGGCGTCCACTAAAGCACCACTGTGGCTGTCCTGTATCGATGTGAATATCTTTTAGGGAGACCCCTGAGCCTCCTAACTTGTAGTGGGTGACACCGCTATGACTACCGCAAATACAGTGGAGTTCTTCTCACCACCGGCCTCACTTGAATAACACGTCGATACAAACATCTCCCCCCTCTCTCACATCACCACTTTCTCCTCTGCTTCTACCCCTCAGGCGCCGCCATGCCTAGATCGGCCTACAAGGGGGATCCTGCCGTCAGAGTGGCGGGGACGGAACCCACAGACTCCTCACCCGCCACTAGCTCTTCCGCCGTTAGAGGTGCCTCCATGCTCATCAGCCTCCAGCTCATATCCCGCCTCGTCACCTTCGCCGCGAACCAGATCCTCCTCCGCTTCCTCACAGCCCCTCTTCTCGGTCTGTCGACGCAGCTAGAAGTATACTACCTGTCTGTCCTCTTCTTTGCTCGGGAGAGTCTACGCGTGGCCATTCAGCGCCAGGGTCCTGCAACAGCACCGACAAGCAGTGAGTCGCCGACCCCCAACAAGACGACTTCTGCTGCCGCCAGGGAGAGCCAGGCCATCGTCAACCTCGGATATATTGCCGTTGGGCTAGGATCCGTCGTCAGCGTGGCACTGGGATGGCTGTACCTCTCTTATGCCAGCGAGGCATCCCTGGCTGAGCCGTACCTGGCCCTGTCACTGAGGCTGTACGGCGTGGCAGCCATGGTGGAGCTCCTGTCCGAGCCATGCTTTGTCCTGCTCCAGACACGTATGCAGTTTGGTACGCGTGCGGCCGCCGAGTCAACAGCCACTTTCTTCCGGTGCGCCGTCGTCCTGGGATCAGCCGTGTGGGGATCTTCCCGCGACTTGGGTGTCCTGCCCTTTGCTCTGGGCCAGCTGAGCTACGGCCTTGTCCTGCTGATGGTGTACGCCGTTTCGGGTCAGAAAGAGGCCTCAGCCACGGGATTCTCCCTCCTCCCGCGGCCCGCACTTGCCGACGGCAGCTACTTGTACCGTCCGACCGTCCGGCTCGCGGGGAGTATGATGGCCCAGAGCGTCGTCAAGCACCTCCTCACCCAAGGGGACACGTTCCTGATCTCGCTCCTGTTGACACCCCAGGTCCAGGGGGCGTATGCGCTCGCCAACAACTACGGCGGGCTGATCGCCCGTCTGCTCTTCCAGCCCGTCGAGGAGAGCAGCCGTAGCTACTTCTCTAGACTGCTGTCCACGCAGCCTACAAACAAGCCTAGCAAGCCGTGCCCTGCCGTGCTCGAGGCCAAGAAGAGTCTCTATACTCTCGTCAGGCTGTATATACTACTCTCGACAGCCGTTGTAAGCCTCGGCCCATTTGCCGCCCGTCCGCTGCTGGCCATTGTAGCCGGGAGACGGTGGGTCAACTCCGGGGCAGGCGACGTCCTGGCCGTGTACTGCTTCTATATCCCGTTCCTGGCCCTCAATGGCATTGCCGAGTCGTTCATTGCGTCTGTGGCCACCGAGGCCGAGGTGCACCGCCAGTCAGGTTGGATGGGCGTCTTCTCCGTCGCCTTTGCCGCCTCAGCCTATCTCTTCATGCGTGTGCTCCCCCTGGGCGCCAATGGCCTCGTCATTGCCAACTCGATCAACATGCTCTGTCGTATACTGTGGTGCGCCGTGTCCATCTCCCGCTTCTTCAAGTCCCGCGGCACCGACGCTGGGTTTGGCGCATTGTTCCCGCGCAGCGCCATGCTTCTCGCAGCCGCCACGGCCGCCGTGATGCATTGGCTCGACATTGCCGACGGCGCTGAGCAACAACCTTTTGCGGCATTGGTCAGGGTGTCTTCGTTTGCCCTGCCGTTGTTGTTATCCTTGTACGTGGCACCGTGGTCTGAGATCATGCAAATCATTGAATTTATACATACACATCCACCATGTATATATAGGCACAACCCGGAAATACAATTGCTGACAATAGGGCCGAACACGGATAAAATCAACGACGCCCAACTTTTTCCAGTGCCTTTACCGAACGAGACTTTCTCATCAGTTGCCTCGACTCTGTACGCGACCGTAAATCCATCAAAAAGTAGAGAGCACGAATAGATACAACGCCTGGCATCAACAGGAACGAAATAATATATGGGATAAGATATAAAAGACAATGAAACACACACACGGAGCAGAGGCTTCCCAACTTAGTCGAAGGTAATCTTGGTGGCCTTTTGCGACATATCAACGTCCTTGAAAAAGGCTCCGTACATGTCATGCGCCTTCTTCTTGACCGTGGTGCCAAACTTGAGGAGTTCGTCGGGAACAGGCTGGTTGGCGCCCTTGAGGATGTTGACAAGACTAAAGATATTTTTGTAAGCATACAATTATTCAAAAATGGAGAATGCGAGCCAAGGACAGAGATGCCTGCGGGGGGGGGGGGGGGGGGGGGGGGGGGGGGGAGATGGCTAGGTCTTCTTCAAGAAAATCGTCAGATCCCTCGGTCATGATAACTCGTTATGGGGGTTTTCCGGAGATCCGGTATTATCCTTCTTTTCTCTTCTTGCCCTCACTCTTTTCTCACCCGATACCCATACCCATAGCTGTATGTAACCGTCGGTACCTGTATGCCCCTCCAGTTGCCGGCTACCTCCATGTCCCCGTCTAGGCCGTAGGCGCTAGACAGGAGCGACGTGGAGAGTGCGTGGGATAGAGAGGGAGTCTGCTGAAAGGGAAGGGCCGGCCAAGTCCTCGCCTGCGTCGCGCGAGGGTCAGGGTGTATCGAGTGATGCATCCGTGACGCGTAGCGTCTTCCCTGAACCGGTTTGCTGGGCCGCTGCAGCGAGTCACCATCCGGCGTTTACATTGTGGATAGTGGGACCTTGCCGTTATGGCTGCAGTATCTTGGTCCCGGAGACTGGGGACCCTGCCTTCTTTCGACATGCCGTCTTCTGCATGTGTGGATTACGGAAACT